TCAGCAGAGCGGCCGGACCACTGGTTATCAGCTATGTGTCTCTGTCCAGCACTGGACTGCTAAAACTACGTGTGGGGATTAGCAGCTACGAGCCAGGCTAAATTAGTTTAAGAAACCAAATACGTTTCAGAACAAAAATCAGGAAACGGTAACACAGGTAAAGCCAGCATATCACAAGCATCATATTAGATAAAAGTACAGGCATGAACTGTGCGATGTCCCAGACAGCAAGTATTGCTCTAAATATTCCAACTGCTCCCTTTTCCGATACTAAAATCAATATTCTTTATGTTGAAACGCTTGATATCTTGGACACTGTGACATCAAATTGGACAAATACCATTCTCAATTACACCCTTAAGATCACGCAAGGCAAATATATGGACAAAAACACTGTGCACATCTACAGAGAAATACAGAAAGCAACAACAATTAAATCCACACCTGAATGGGCAAAATATCTATACACAGCACCTAGAAGGAGGAGGAGGAGTTTGGCCACTGATTTCTTTAGGTATCTACAAATTAGACCATTACTGAACAAACATGGGGAAACCAATAAAAGTTTCTCAATTCAATGGAATCACATGACTACTTTTACAAGAAACAAAAGTGGGAGGCACAATTTGGAAACAAAATCTCTGTGCCGACATCTGTTATGAATCACATCAAGAAACTTGCTTTAAAAGCTGGAGAGAATTTAAATGGAAGCTATAGGGAAGATATTTTAGAACACCTCACACAGCAGGGAAGACTGGGTCATCATCTTTCCACAGCAGCTGGAGGAATTGGTTCCAATATTATCTTTTTTTTTTTTTTATGTAATACAGGTCAATAATGAGAACTGGGACATGATAATAAAGTGGTTGTTGTAGCCAATTTCGGTGTGTGCTATATGTTGTGTGTTAGTGGTAAGTTGTATAGGGGTTGACGCTCTTCCACCTGCACACCAGGGGGCATGGGCAGGGAATCAGAGTGTTAACAGTGGCTATATGAGGAAGTCACAGGTGAAAAGCGAGAGGGAATTACGATCTGGGGAAGCCACACAATTTTTCAACCATGCATGTGTGTATCTTGGTGATGGATTTTGTCATGTCCTTCCGTTAGCATCATGTTTACTGTTTTTTGCATATGTACGAGCTCCGTTTACGTCATTATGCAAGCAGCAGTGTTTTGTAAGTAATTTTATTCTGCACAACATAAAGTGTTAACTGCATGCCGTGGCAGACCTGATTTTTTGCATCATTACTCTGCTTCAATGGACGGATCACGCCGATGTTGGGAAGGCAGAAGCACAGCGCTCCAGCTGATTCCACTCAGTGAATGCCGACAAGAGAAACTGGACACGAAATGAAAGTAGGCTAAAGCAACACCAAAGAATAACCGTTGGATTGTTTTGGAATTGTTTTAAGCTGCGTGAAATAGATTGGACTTCTCACAATTAGGATACAGGTAAATCATGCTTCAATTCTAAAATAAAGCTTTCGGTAGCTTGCCTAAATCATTATCAAAATGAGTAACGTGGATTTAAATGCACCTGTCAATCAAAGCGAAATGGAGAATGAACTTGGTAAAAGACCAGTTAAACTCACGGTTAAAGCTTTGGAAGAGAGGAGGGAGGGCGTTTCCCAAACTTTGTCTGAGGGGAGGTCCGCAGTCTCAGACTATGAAAACCCCTGATGTAGACTGTTTATATTGGGAAATGTGAATAATAAAAAAGGGGAAGGGTGTAGTGTGTTGTCTGTGGTATGGCAGTATACTGACCTGGCTGCATTCTGCACCAACTCCACGGGGAAGTCTGGACACAATAACTGCAGTAGAGACCGGAACTCCAGCACGGACAGTAAGTCTGGAGTACAACAAGCCATAAAACTAACTTTAGTTACAGAATACACATCAATGAACCACTGATTTCAAAGCAATGGTGGGGTTTGCAAGTCAATTAATACATATTTGGCAACTGATGACAGTACACTACTGTGTATTCCTATTATTAATTCACTTAAAAAGTCAGTTCAGGACTTCCGATACGAGTCTTATGTTATAATACATACCTAGCCTTATACAAAGGTGAAAGTGCATTTATTCAATTACTTTCACCATGTAACCATCATCAAAAGAGAAAATGTACTATTCTGATTATTTCTGGCTCGCACTCACCTCCACTCTTGCCGATCTGTCTGAAGCATCTCCAGAAGACTCTGATGAAGGAGACTCTATTATGAGGAGTGGCCCTGATATAGCTATACTCTCTAAAGAGGATGTGGTTACTGTTCTTCACACTGCTGAAACTACACACACACACACACACACACACACATTAAAAAAGAAGGAAACTCCACTCTATCTCAAAATCCATGTAATCAGTTAGATAAAAATGATACACAAGATGCACTAAATTGCATTTACTTCCATCAATGATCTTAGTTAGCATGGACAGTCCTGAAATAGAAATTTGATCTAGTTTTGTAGAGATGTTCCACTGTTTAGATTACATCAGCTACATGCTGTACATTCAGAACAAAAGTGGTAAAGATGAATGTGTATCACTGGCTTTTTGCATCACATTTACACATATACAGTAAGCATGAACTGTATATTTGATCATCTATTTCATTATTTGAACATTTCAGAAGACCACAGAAGTGTGATCAGATGTGCAAACATATATTGTTACACATTAGCATATATTAGCACTGGTTTGGGATACGTTTGGAAACTAGCCACGACAATGGTAATAGAATAAATATGGCTATACACTGTAGACCTACCATTGGACAACCTGTTTATGGGGGGTTTGCGCTTTGCAACATGCAAATACATGTTAATTTGTAGTGAATCTCCAGTTTTATTATGTTCTGTCCATTTCACCTTTGTGGACGTATGACGTATGTAATTTAAAAATGTTTTCCCATGTCAGCTGTTCAGGCCTACAGGAGATCCCTCCCTGTAACTGTACATGTGTGTGTGTCGAGTGTAACATACTATTCAGCGAAGTAGCGTATCACCCCAAACTGGATGTATTCCTCTTTATGTTCCAGCAGCTGGGTCACGGCATCATTCAGGTAAAACAACACATTGCTGTCCGCTGGAACAAAAATTAACACAAGCACGGATATAAAGACACAACTGTATCAGTTAGCTGACAGTTTCAAGAACGTGATTGGCAATGCGCTGATTTTGAATGAGACAGATCGCTGAATAGATATCTCACGATTGTATAATTAAAATGAGCACAAATATGAGTTAGCTAAAGAGCTAAACTGCACAGCTAACACAACCTACCGAGATATTCGTCAACGGGAGCGGTGGAATTAAAACGGTTCATTGTGTGCGTCCTTCGTTGAAACGAACATTAATACATTTAAAACGTAAGGTTATGTAGCTATACTCGGAGAACTGTCTAGCTGCGTATGTTACACTTAATCATTTCATTTCATTTCTGTAGCCGTGGGCTGTTGCTAGCTACCATAGCACTGTTGGCTTCTGGGAAACAGCCGGATGTTGTGAGTTACATTAATTAAATCCCCCGAACAACACAACATAGAATAGTTCCTCTGTTGTTTTCCATAATAATAATCATCATTATAATTAGGAAATAATAACCTTAAGTTGTAGGTTCATTAGCTTGTGTTATTTTTCATTTAAATGCTGTGTTTGTGTTTTAGGCTTATTATTACTATTTCAGTAACATGTCTGTTACATTTAAGCTTAGTTGTGTTGTTTCTGGACTTCAGAGAGAATTAAATAAAACTGTGACATCTCATGTCTCTGTCTGTGAGTCTGTGCTTGCAAGATAAGAACTACAGTACTCTCAAAGCCACACTTTATTCTGTTTTGTAGGCGATGCCTGCTCGGCATAGAGAGCAATCACCATTTAGAGTTGTTGGTAGAGAACGTGGAATGTAAGCCTGTTTACAATGGCATTCAAAAAACTAAAATGGTTTTCTGTACTTGAGTGTGCTGCTACATTTAAGTTAAGAATTGTCCAACAGATTTTACAGAATATGGTGGTCTTTTCAACACTGTGTTTACAGTGGCTCCAGATGTGTCAGTAGTTCAGAACCCAATTTTAGTTTTTTACTGTCTGGACTACATGACAGACCTTACAAATACGTTGCATGTATGGAATTAGAAGAATAATCTAAAGCCAGTCATATCACTTAGGTGTGAAGTCAATACATGCTATGGACCAATAATGAAAATATTTTCATAGTTACGGGGAGGAATTAATTTCAGAGCAGCCAATCAAACATTTTCCTGGGATATGTGATATACGTGATCGTCCAATCAGCAAAGGAATGTCATACCTTGGGGCGGGCCATAGTTCAAATGCAACCAATCAGTGCCAAAGAAAACCATTAAACTTTCGCTAATGAGTAAAATGTTTAAACCTCGTCCTCGTAACAGGACGCGATGTGAAGGAGCGAGAATCAGATTGTTCCAGGCTTTCAGGGTGTCCTATATGTGTGGCATCGCGCTCTATCTATCTCGCGCTTACTGTAACCAGAGCCCTTGAGAGAGCCCTCTCTGTAGGCCCTGGCTATATCGAGGAAGAGACGTGAACCTAACGTTCTGTGACGTGTGCTGATCTTTCCTTGTCCGTATTTTGATTCTTCATGCACTATCAATGTGTATATGTAGTCTGAATAACATAACTTTATTCAATGAGCACTCAATCTTGCACCATGTGTCTCCGCCCCTCCTCTGTCTCCCCGCCCTTGGAGGCATTTCAAAAAGCTGCAACAAGTTGGACATAAGCAGCAGCGAAAGGACCGGAAACTGGTGTTCATTTGTTTTTTAAAATAAGACATGTCTGTCTATGATGGAACATGGCTCAATTGCACAGAAAGATATACAAATAAATAAAACTGTATTTTGCTATTTTAGCTTACTAAAGATGTTTATCAATACTCTAAATATGTTCGTTTACGCGATCATTTGTACTAAGAGACAACTTCAACTCCAGTTTTATTTTCGAACCGGATGTTGTGTTTCGTCTCCTGGATGGTACTGGCAACGCTTGTATAAAGCTCAGCTTGGCTTCTCCGTAGTGATCCCATTATCCTCCCCATCTAACTGGACAGCCAGCATCGCATTGTCTCCTAAAGACGCAAACAGGTATTCTAACGACATACAATTATTTTCTTATTTTAGTTAAAACTCGTGACGTTATTTGGGCCTGGGCTAGCAGGCTAGGTTGTTGTGTTTCTGCAGCTGTCGCTGAGAACTGCGTTGTTAGGCCTGTCTGTGTTGGCGCGGATGAAAGGTTAGCTCGTAGCCTTGTTTCTAAGGCGGCTAACGCTACGGACCGCTAGTAATGAAACAATAAGGTTTAAATATGAACAGGACCTAATACGTTTATAGCACAAATGCTAACAAGCTACATATTGGTCGTCAGTGCGAGCTGCTTGTATTTTTGCTGAAGCGGCTTTAACCAGAATGAGCGGGTTGACGTGCTAACATAGCAACTGTTACTGTAGTTGCTAAGTTAGCTGGTTAATGCCGATCAGTCTGCCCAGCTAACAACTAACCACTGCTAAGTTAGTTAAGATGCTGACCACATCGCCTAAGCAAACAGAAAACAACACTGGGGACAGTCGATGAAATGGATAACGTTAGGTGATACTACAGCTTGGAAACGGTTGCCGACCTAACGTTAATTGATTATGAGTGGCTGTGTTTCAGGGTGCAGTCTGACGTTAAGTTAGTTTGAGAATGCACGCAGAGTAACATAACCATACTGTTAACGTTACTGAGAGGAACGTATGGTGTGCAGGGACTGTGCACAGCTGTCCTAGTGTGGTTTCTCAAAATTTCAAGTTTTTAGTTTGTCTTAATTCAGTGATATTTAAAGTCCTCGTGTGTTCATTCTTGTATGCAGGTAACACTGTGTCAGATTCTGGCGGTTTGCTGCTTCCTCTCTCATGTCATGCATGTGAAACACAACTTCTAAATGGCCTTAACGTTACAGCTGAGTGATATATTGACGTATGACTCTTGTGATAGCTGTGTGGCAGGTTTTCATATGTGGTTTTGGGTAAACTATTGCAATCTAATGTAAATGTGTCCTATTTTATTGATTTATGTGTACACTATAAAGCTGATTCAGATTATTACAGTTCAGTAAACCTCTCTGAACTAGGGGTCCGTGAGTAGGGGTTGGCTAGATGAGCAATTCAAAAACTTGCTTTAAAAGCATGCTTCAGGATTGTTAAAATGTACGTTTTGTATTTATGATGGTTTCATGTCTTTAAAATGACACTTGCACTTTTAAAATTTTATTTTTTACTAAAGTTAAACCTCAATGTGCATGAAAATGCAAAGTGTGAGAAATATTAGCATTACTCAGAATAGTTTACACTTTTCATTAAGAGAATCTCTAAATAAAATTTTTATGCATTTTGCAATATTATGAATAACTTACCCGCGACCCTGTACACAGGATAAGCGGTTGACGATGAATGGATGGATGAATAGCTTATGGCTAATTATGTAAATTGTTTAAAAACATGTAATTACACTGAAATATAACATTTTATTCCATATTACTGCTTCACCAATTGACACAAGCAGTTAAGCTACACGAGGCCACTGTTTGAAGAAATTGGCAGTGGAATAACAAGCATGCCGGTCAACGGAACTTGGTGTTTTATTTTATTTCAGTGTAGAAACATCATCTGACATGAAGAGCCCTTCACGTCTTTTGGCAAGGTGATTGGCTCTTGCAGCAGGATCAGCGTTTACTCGTGCTCTGTGAGGAGCCACCTTTTCCTTGTTTCAAAGTGTCATCTGTTGGGGGAAATAAAGCTCTGTTATGTATTAAAAGAATAGAATATTTTCAGCGACTTTCCCTTGCTGCCAAAAAGCCATTTCCTCTGGAGCTACATTTTCTCAACTTTAGAACTTCGCATTCCTACACAAGTGCAACTTGGCTGTACAGTGTAGTACACCGCTGGAGATCAACTGTTTGGGTCAGACTTTCAGCGGTTTATAGAAGAGAATGAATGAAAGAAATTTTAAATGAGTGACCTTGACAGCAACAACGAAATTCCGCTCACTGTACACTTTATTGTGTGTTGTACCGATGTATGATTTGATTAGAGAGACTGCTGTCACTCAGTTAAACGTTTCCATATGCGCAGTAAAGTCACAGCAAATGTTGTGGGACACTTAAGCAGCAAAACTAAAAACTACAGGGACCTGGCGGTTTTGTAACGGTAGAAATGCGGCAGAGGATGCTGTAATGTTATATGGATCAGATATGCCCAACACTTGCAGTTTGTGTTCATATCTTTCTTTTTCTTAAGTTGAAAGGTGATCCAAATAAAATTTTATTGCTTTTGCGGCGTCTCTACAGGGGGAGTCGCGGTGTGAGCCGCTATGTTTGTCCATTGTTTTGCCCTCCAGGTCACCGCACATGTCACGTGACTGAAAACTATGAATTGGGAGACTTTTCACCCACCTGCTGTTAATCAGTCAATAAATTTTTATGACCCGGTCAACCCAAGCTGTGGACTACTGCGATCAGTCCATCACTAGCCTGTATTCAACAATAAAAACATCAGTAATGTCAAGGTGAAATGTCATTAGCGATGAAGTTGGAACAGAGCCTCGGGCGCTACACAAAAGGTGAATAGCGGAACATTTGATCATCTTTAAAAAACGAATACAACTTCTGAATACAAAAGGAACCCTGCAGAGTCCTGCTCTTGCCGTGGTTTGTATATTCCAGCTGTGTGTCGCCTCTTTAATACGTCATGGCTGTGGAAACACCGGTGTATCCTCGCTCACAGCAAGCCTCCTCGCTCCTCGAGGTGCATTTTAGGAAGTGAAGTGTCCTTTTAAGGTGGCGTGCTGAGACCGTTTTTTGTGTAACAGGAAGGAGAACAGAGGAGAGATGAGACGTCCCACCTGATGAGAACCCTTTATCATCAGGGCCCAGTTGTTCAAAAGTAATCTGATCGGAGTTCGGCTATCAGATTGGATCAAATCTTGAAAATGGGTTGTTCAGAAGAAATAAAGGATTCTGAAAACTGATCAGATCGCCTAATCCAATCCTTCAGTTTGTGGAGTTCAAAACGTTTTAGTAGGATTGGGATCCCTTTGATCCAAAAAATCAGGTTTATCCTGATCCTAACAGAAGGGTGGATTCAGGGTGGATTCAGGGTGGATTTCAGAAACAAAATGTCATAAAACTTGAAATTTTATACAACATTTTATCATGTAGTAGCCAATATAAAAATGTATCTATATTTTGCACTTGATTTGTTTCGACTTTACAGTGATAAAGTCGACATTACCTGTAAGCCATTCAGTAAAGTAAAAAATAAATAATCCCCCCCCAAACGGATGTCAGTAACAAACAAAATTAATGCATTTATTTTCAATAGTCACTTATCACTGGCATTCAAAAGTAGTCTGTAACAATTGCATCGCTTATTGCAGGTCCAGTCAGTCCCTCATTCTGAGATCGCCGCCTAAAAGCTCAAAGCTGCTCTCTGAATGATCTTTATTTGAACTATTGGACAACACATGCTCAAAATATCCAGTGTTTCTGTGAATAAGTATTTGTTTTATCTTTGGGATTTTTGTGTTTCAGATGGGGGGGGGGTCTGACTGTTTTAAAGAAATAGAAAATAAAAGGAAATGTTTGTTCTTTTACTGTACATTTTCTGTCTCTTCAAATAAAAGTGACCCCACGCTGGCTGTTCTACCTATTGGGCTTTATATAATTAGCAGAGTTAGGATATGTAGTCCCATTTAGAGAAATCCAGACTTGGTAATCCTGAAAAGTATCTGGAGCAGGGCGATCCAATCTAATGTTGCTTTTGAAAAACTGGCACAAAAGTAAAGAGGGGTACGTGATCGGGGATAGCAAAACATGGGATTTCATTCTGATCCAGATTAACTTTTTGAACAACTGGGCCCAGGACTAAACCCAAAGTACTCTATTAAACAGGAGCAGAGGCCTTTTTCTGTTTACTTGTCCTGTAGAATTATCCCAAGATGACGTCAGGCAGTTTCTCGCGGCACTGCCCGCCTACGTTGAGGGCGTACACAGACCAGCTCAATACAGCATCTCCATTTCAGTTTAATAGAAAGAGGAGTGTCTGTATTTTGACAATTTGAGTCATACCGACGGGATTTCTAAATTCCCTGGTATACTGAGACCGCCCAAGCCTAGTTAGTAGCCCATTGATAACTCCTAAGATGTGTGACGAGTGGACACGTCGTTGAAGAGTTATTAGTTTTGACCATGCTTGCTCATAATAGAAATGTGTCTCGGCTGTTTCCCGGGTTAGTTTGCATTGCTTATGTGTAAGACTGCCTGCAAGACATTATTTTGCAGAGATGTGGATGTCTTTAGCCTGTTTACTAGACTGGTATGGATCAATATGAAATATGAACCCCTTCCTGTATGTGCATTAGACAATCGCATGCTTTCGCTTTCAAATGGAAGTAAGTGCGTGCCTGGGAGTGGGTGACTGATGCTGCAACTTAAGAAATTACTTTAGACGATTTGGACTCCGACAATAAAGAATCTTTGACTAACTCTTACAGGACTTGAGATTGCAGAGACTGTAGCAGGAACTGAGCCATTTGTTATTAAGCAGTTGTGTCTGCTTCAAAAATCCATTATTGATTGGGCTCTGGTAAAAATCCCCCATGTTTGTTTTCTGAAAAAAGGAATCTGCCCATGTTCTAATATTCTTTTGTATCCATTTGGGGGAAAAGTTTGAAAACCGCTGATCTAGATTACATACTGCCGATGGGTGAATGGATCTTATTTGTTTACAGCAGCACGATATTTGTGTGGATGATGTATTATGTTGCACCCTCTCTAAATTTGGAAATGGCACTAAATGCAGGGCCTTTGTGTGTATTTGTTTATCTCAATTATTGGGAGTATAGTTTGCTACGGTTCAGTCCAAGTGTTGATGAATGTCCCCAGCAGAGCTGTGAATGATGCTGAAAAGCCAATTAATCTGATGAAATTTGGAGTTTTGTTTTGAAGCAGTGCTCTGCTGACAGTAAAAGTTCTGTGATGATTTTCAGGGTGCATCAGTAAACCACAGATGAATGTCATGAAGGAAAGTCGCTAATGCTGTTGTTTTTTTTGTTTGGTTTTTTTTCCAGTTGAGTACCTTTTTGGGGAAGCCCACCCGCCCCCGAGTGGCAGCCATGGGGGACGATAGCGAATGGATGAAGCTTCCCATCGACCAGAAATGTGAACACAAGGTGACTGATATTTGTCCTCTATGTTCTCTGCAGTTTAAAAAGACTTCCCTTTAGTCAAAGAATGACAAGAGCTGTTTGTCATATCTCACCCACAATACAGTAGGGACCTCGCTGCTGCTGTTCAGTCTCAGTATTAATGAATGCATGCAGAAGGTCACGTGACCGTATTTAGGCAAGAGGGCAGAGCTGGGGTGCATATGCATTGCTACACCTGACGGGTCGCCATGGTAGTGACTTGTCAATCACAAGGTAGCCACGCCCTAATGCATCCCCTGCTTTATCATCTATTTTCCTCTAAATGGGACCATCATTTTAGAATAAACATCATGCTGTAGACCATAAACTCATGATTTACTGAGGTAATAAATGAGAAGGAGGGTCATTCTCTCTTACGCTTACATAAAATCTGACTTCTTTTTGCAGCCTGTAGAGTCGCCCCCTGGTGACCACTATAAAGAATGTAGGTTTAAGACTTGTTCACCTGTCTAAGTGTCCCTTATGGTGTGTTCACATACAATGCAAATTTAATCCTCTCAACACTTTCCTCGGAAAGTGCAAACACTGGACAAATGCCAAAGAGTTCACACACAACCCAATAAAGTGAATAATCACAACCTGATCTACAGCTGTATGAACCCAAAGTAAACATTTATTTTACATTTGATTTAATATCAATAAATGGATCAAAGTGATGCCGAAATAATAATATGATGCATGATTTGTTAAACATATGAACTCATGCTTTGTCAGGTCTGTCAGCAGGACAACAACTTTTTAAATGTTTGTTTTTCTGAATGGAGTTCAGATCAGCAGCAGCGCTGCTCCAGGCTCTTTCTTCTACACTTCCCCGTACTTTAGCAGCAGCATTTCACTCCCCCGCTCTGCCTGGTCCTGATAGGCTGATAGGCTTCTTCGCATCTTCCGCACCACCTGGAGCAAATTCGCATCTTTGCATTGACTTTGTATGTAATCAAGTGGCGTGAAACGCTGGATTCGTCTTCAGTGTGAACACACCTTGATACAGACATCCTTTTTCTAACTAGGAACTATTAAGGAATGTGTTCACTTGCATCTAGTTTTGTTCTCTCTCTTACAGGGGGGATAAAAGAAGCTGGACTGGAAGGGTTTAACAAACCCCAGTTGATTTTAACTTTGTATACCTCTTTCAGTTTCTGTTCTTTACCAGTTTCTCTCTGACTCTTTCTCTTCTTCAGGTGTGGAAAGCCCGTCTGAATGGTTATGAAGAAGCTCTCAAGTTGTTCCAGAGGATAGGAGATGAGAAGAGTCCAGAGTGGGGGAAGTACCTGGGACTGATAAAGAAGTTTGTCACTGACTCTAATGCTGTGGCTCAGCTTAAAGGCCTGGAGGCTGCCCTGGCCTTCATTGAGAATGCCCATGTAGCTGGCAAGTAAGTAATTTTCCTGCCAAGTTTATTCAAAAGTCTGGCATTAGCGAGCATTCAGACAACAAAAATAGCCCTGATGGACAAATCACTGTAGTCCATCAGAGATAATGGGGTGACTTTTTCGTAGTAAATAAAGGAGGAGACACAGAGGATGTAGTGATTAGGCTTGGGTATCATTAGACTGTTTTCAATTAAATTCTGTTTCTCATTGATTCCCTGATGTGATGTGTTTTGTTTTGTTTGTGTGTGTGTGGAGGACTGTTAGGGCCTTCTGAAATCTGTTTAAATTTGTGCCAGGTATCATTTTACTTTTGCTGATTGAAGGATTGTTGCTGGTGTTCTGACAATTGCCTATGGAGATGTGCTACTTTGCAGTTCTTTGTATGCATGTTGACGCTGTCAAACTCTGAGACACCCTTCAAACATGTAAGTAGCCTAGCTTGTAAGGATAGCTACATTATAGTAACATATGCACGTTAGCGCGATGTACAGAGCTGCTCGTCAATATTGACTGCGAGATAATAACAACCTAATATCTTGTGTTCATAAGATAAAAAAATATGATCTTACAGGACTTGGGGGGGGGGGGCTCGGCTCTGTAGGTTGCACGTGTGAGTAGCTGTAAAAAAAAAAATCATCGCAAAATGCAAGCATTTGGTCACAGTCTGGAGCCCTGCCTTGAAGAAATATAGCCTGTATTTGCAACAATACAGGGTTAACACGGTTAGGTATCATCATTTTTTACTGGTACCCGAATCTTTTCTATCTTGGTTCCCAACCCCAGTGGTGATCAGCGTTGGGCAAATTACTTATTAATGGGTGGAAAAAGTAACTATTTACAGTACTCGTTATGTGACTATATTACTGTCACTACCTCCCCAAAACAAAGCCGTCTCTCCGGACTTTTCAACCAAGCATATTTGTAACGGCTGCAAGGAGTATGTGTGTGTTTTATTTTTTTTAAACTTAACGTTTCTTAACACTGTTGGCTGGAGGAGAAAAGAGCAGTAATCAGTGCTTTTACAAAACCTAAAATGTTGCTTTACGCCATACTTTCTTTCTATAAGTTTTCACGTCGCAGATGCTTCAATACATTTGATGTAGAATTGTTTGCAGTTGAAAGCTTTTTGCTGGTCACACAAAGTTTACAACAAACCACAATGTTCTTTGCATCTTAGATTGTGACACTGCCGTGCAGTTAAGGATTGTATGTGCAGTAATGCAGCCTGACTTGGGTTAGTAACTGTAATAATATAACTGTTTTGGAAATGGTAATCTGTTACACTACCGTTACCGAGTAACGTGTTACTGTCCAACACTGGTGATCAGTGATGTCAGTGGTGTAGGTGAGTGGATGAAGAGGAATGTGAGTATGGACAGTCTCTCTGAGGAAAGAGAAGCTGTAGTGCAGGGAGCATTAAGCGCTCCCAGCTATACTGACAGCACAGCCCCACCCACCATTTACTTGCAAGACAATAGGTCTTATTTATTTTTCATAGCAACTTATGACAATATTGATACAAGGACACCGGAACTGAGAGATTATTACATTAGTCACAGCTGTTTGTCAAGTCAAAAGGTCCACCGTGAGAAAGGTCTATAAGAGCAATGAGCCTGTCAGACCTTTGAACCCACAATGTCAGGGATACACAGTAGTAATCCTGCTGAGCCTCCAACCTAGAAAGAAGTCAGACCAGTTTTTAACATATTGAAGTTTCGATTGTATTGTGTTTTTTATTTTTATTTTTTAATGATCCCCCCTCAACTATGAAGAGTCCAATGAGCAATCATAATCATTTTTTTTTAACTATTCCTAATGTTTTCCTGTTGTTGTGCCACATCATTGATGATGAGAAGATTTTGTGAAGCGTGAAAGAGTAACTGACTGACCATAACCTCCCAGTGAAACATGCATAGCTGTGTGCGTGGCCTGGGTGCTGGTAGTCAGAGCTGAGCAGCCATGAGCAGTTACTGTCAGTCTGTCTATCTGCTGGAAAGAGGAGGCAGACACAGCTTTGATAGTCTCAGGAGCCTATTTATTAGGGCTGGGTATTGTTTAAAATTTTACGATGCCAGTACCAAATCACAGGAATACTGGAAACCACTACCAAAACCAGTACCCTTAAAGTGATACCGAATAGAGTATTCGATACCTTGCATAAAAAGCCATAGTAGTTGATTGGTAGCCTATTATTGTTTTTATGGACAAGCAAGGCTATCTATTTTACTTTTTTCTTGTTTCAAGTAACTGTTACATAAAAGTATTGGGAAATTGGATCAGATCGCTCCTCATCCTAATTACTTCATCCTCATGGGTAGTATTATACGAAGGAGTTTCTTTATATATTTGAATGAGGGAGGAGAAATTAAATAGTTTAGTGACCAAATAAGTTGTGGGAAATGAATTTATGGTCATTTTTGATACGTGTGTTGAAAGTAAACAACGGGAAAAATTATTTTGATAACTTTCGATCAGTGTACTGAATTGAAAGATCTCCGAGTGCCTTTTCCTTTATTGGGGAGTCCTCCAAAACGAAAGTCACAAGTATAAAACGAGTAAGGAGTCCATTTAAACAAGTCATTAAACTACACTTAAGACTCTCAAACGGAAGAAAAGAGGCTGCACGTCCAGCCGAACCAAACCAACGACACCTGAAGCAATCGCAGCTGCAGTCGGAGGCTCAGTCAGTAAAATCAGCTGATCGCTGCTACGCCACAAAAGCATTTTAATTGATGTGATGGAACGCAGCGATCGATCAGTGATGGGTGATGTGAACAGCAAATAAAAATGTACAGAGGAGTGTTAAATGATACCAGAAGATGAGACCAACGGAAAGCCAAACTTGCGGTGATAAACTTGCAACTGTGATGAACATGCCGCGATCTAGTTACAAAAGGATCCATTATGCTGGTTTGACTGGAGACATTTTGATTCTACTCAATACTGGGCTCTTTCGGTCGATACCAGAAAGGAATCGAGGAGAAATACCCATCCATCCCTACTATTTATGCCCCTTTTTTGAGAGTTTCTGTGAGGGTACCTGTGTTGTAGCTGATCTAGTGTCTCTCCTGTATGAGAGGCTCTCCCAGTATATGTGGGGGAGTGCCACTGCGTACTCATAGCCTGCTGTTTATAGTGCTGCTGTAGTGCTTATTTACTGTCCAGAGATCTTAATATCTGGTGAACCCAATCCCCCCCCCCCCCCCCCCCCCAAAGGAAGTTTCAACTCTGCAAGTTGATTTTCACTCTGTATGAACATGAATGAATGCTACCTGGATTGGTTGTCAGTGATGTGGTGAAGATATTAATGAAAAACAATCTTTTCATCAGATTAAATCAGACATTTCTATGGATACTGTTCTTTAAACATTTGTGTAAGTCAACCTTGTTCATAAAGATGTCTGGTGTGTTCTGACAAGCTGTTTTGTACTCTGCCCTCTGCTACAGGACGACAGGTGAGGTGGTGTCCGGCGTGGTGACCAAAGTGTTCAACCAGCCAAAGGCCCGGGCTAAGGAGCTGGGCATGGATATCTGTCTGATGTACATCGAGATAGAGAAGGCTGAGGTGGTTCAAGATGAGCTACTCAAAGGACTGGACAACAAGAACCCAAAGATAGTGGTGGTCTGCATCGAGACACTGAGGAAGGCTCTCAGGTCAGTGCTACCTTACTGGCTCAGAATGACCACACTCAAGAAACCCTTAATGTAAACCCATTGGAGACTAGCTGAAAAGAAGGCACACGTTTTGTAGATTATGCTATGTGGAGCGCACATTTTTCTTTAACAGTCCTGTTAGTTTTCATTATCATTTTTTAATGCACCGGTGATTTGCACATACAAAATTTAATGTAGACAAATTCTGAAATTTGTGTGATTTAATGCAAATGGTAAACAAGCAATCCCAAATGTTATTACATTTGTTAATTTTGCTTTTTGACATCCAACCAGCTAATAATGGCCAACTAGTTAGACAATAACTAGGCTAAAACAAACAAACACTACTGTAGCTACATCAACGGCAAAAGTATCTTTCATCCATGAAGTTTTAACTGAGCTCTGTCTCTACATCACGGTAACAACTTTATGTCCACTGACTGCCTGGAAGGTAGTTTGAGGTGTGTGCTGCAGCTCAGTGTGCTGTTAGTTTTTTATTTCCACCGGTGTTTTTGAGGGCGTGTCTGAACAGCCGCTTGGCGAGAGTTATATAAGGCGCATTTTGCTTTTTTTAAAGGGAAGCGGCTGGACTACAAACGAGCTGTATTCAAGCTGTTCAGAGCAGTGTTTTCTGTGGGAGATGGGAACTCCCTTTGGGCTGGACTTTGGGCTTTTTCACTGTGCAAACCTATTACATGCACAAAAAAGGTATATAAAACTCAACAAAGGAGAGGGGGAAAGACAAAAAGCAGAATATGACCTCTTTAAATCATAAAACCTTCCTTAGCCGTGAGCTCCCTGTACCAAATTATCCCTACAAGATTGTCAGAAGATGGCTTATTGGATTAAGAAACATTCCTCTTGTATTCCAAAGGCTAGCGAATGACAGACTGAACAAGGATGGTCATTATCTTTTGTCATGCTATTGATTTTTATTTATTTTTTACAACATTTTGTAACATTCAAAAGAAAAAGTACCTATACCTACAGTATCAGGCATTGAAAAAGTCACATCTCCCCCCCCCCCCCCCCCAGGCTCCGAGCAGCTTCCATTTGGGCCCCCTTGAATTTTCTAATTGATTGCAGTAGCCGGGTCATCTCGTTGTCGAAAGCTGGTTGAAATTATGGTTTTAGTTTGGTTTTTTTTTTTCTTCTTTTCATATTGGACTTTCATATTGTAGCTCTGGCCACAACTTCGCTCACCACTTTACGAACAGAGGTGAGTGTAGCGGTTGTGGACTCTTTAGAGTCGCAGTTTTCTTGCTTCCTGCTTGTTGCTCTGCTTCTCTGTTTGCAGCTCTACTCTCATTGTAAATGATTAACTGGATGCATCAGTCGCTTCCTGTCTGAAAAGGACTTTGGTGCTAGCTAGCTTTGAAAACTGCTCAGACCGCGTAGTGAAACCATTTTAGCTGCCATTGAAAATTTGTCTGGCGAGTATTGTGTCCTCTGATCGGCTTTTCGGATCGGCCTTTTTAGAGACCACCAATCAAACTATTTAAAGCCATTATCGGCCGATTTATGATCGGTGACTGATCGATCAGAGCGCCCTCATTATTAGTATGGCAATCTCCCATCTCCTGCCAGTGATCCTAACCATTTGTCACCTCTCGGTCTGTTATCGTCTTCCCATAGTGAGTTTGGATCTAAGATAGTGCCGTTGAAGCCCGTGGTGAAGGTTTTACCCAAGCAGTTTGAGTCCAGAGAGAAGGCGGTGAGAGACGAAGCCAAGCTTCTTGCTGTAGAGATCTACAAATGGATCAGAGATGCTCTGAGACCTCCGCTGCAACACATTAACTCTGTACAGGTGGGACACTCATATTTGCACAGACAACTTTTAATGTTCAGCTTTCACAATCAGGATAAACTAAACGGTGCCAGTTTGTCTCTGCAGTTGAAGGAGCTGGAGGAGGAGTGGGTGAAGCTGCCTTCAGCCCCTCCCAAGCAAACCAGGTTTTTGCGCTCACAGCAGGACCTGAAGGCGAAGTTTGAACAGCAGCATGCCCTAGGAGGAGAACAGTGTGATGGTAGGTTTAACTAGGTAGCAAACTACAAACAGGTTTATATGCCATTTAGCTTTTGTTGTTGTCCTTTTGATGTTGAGTTGTAGGGTCATAGTTGGTTCCATCTCTTTTTCTGTTCCTCTTTCAGAAGAGGATGAGGAAGAAACGGCAGCAGCAGTGGATCCCTATGAGCTGCTGGAAGCTGTGGATATTTTGAGCAAGATGCCCAAAGACTTCTATGACAAAATAGTAAGTTTTTACATTACAGTTATTCATTTAGCTGATGCTTTTATCCAAAAAACATGTCAGAGGTCGCACGCCTCTGGAGAGACTAGGGGTTAAGTGTCTTGCTAGTAATTAGATTATTAAATGTTGCGATATGTGACCTTGCTCTGTATATTTCTGCAGGAAGCTAAAAAGTGGCAGGAGAGGAAAGAAGCTCTGGAGGCCATAGAGACTCTGACTAAGAACCCCAAACTAGAGAATGGAGACTATGGAGACCTTGTCAGAGCACTGAAGAAGGTAAAGACTGAAATACTTTGCACGTTTTCAGTTAGGCAGTCTTATCTGGAAGTAGGTTAGGAACTAACTAAGGACATGTAAGACAAATAATCAAAAAGACTTAGACTGAGGGGGGGTCTGGTGACACTACATTGTACGCTTACAAGTTCTATGTTCCAGGTTGTGGGGAAAGATGCCAATGTGATGCTGGTGTCACTGGCAGCTAAATGTCTGGCTGGACTAGCCTCTGGTCTCAGGAAGAAGTTTGGTACATATGCAGGACAAGTAAGTTAAGCAATATTAGTCAGTGAGTAGTCAGCAGAGTTTGCCGTGATCATTTAAAAGCTAACACTGTAATATGACATAGAGGCTTTGCTCAAATGAAACAGCAGTTGAGTGATGGTACAAGTCACTGCTTAGTGCTAAATGCTGTGTGTGTATTCAGGTGGTCCCAACTATTCTGGAGAAGTTCAAAGAGAAGAAACCTCAGGTTGTCCAGGCCCTGCAGGAGGCTATTGATGCCATCTTCCTCACAGTAAGTACAGTCTTCATCTAGCAATCTAGAACAAAGAAAACTACAGCAAAAATACATTGTCAAACCCTTTATTGGACAGCCCACTGTGTTTTTCATGAATTCAGTGGAAGGAACCTTTTTTATGCTTTGAACATTTATTGTTGAGAGAGAAAGTTAAGGCACAATGTCAAAGGCCTTTCTTATACATGCAAATTATTTCTAAAACGGGGTGATTTCACTTCAAGTGTTGGTGCGCATGGTGTGCATGTTTATACTGAAGAGAGAATATTTTTTACAGACCACCCTCCAGAACCTGTCTGAGGACATCCTGGCTGTGATGGACAATAAGAACCCCTCCATTAAGCAGCAGGCCTCTTTGTTTCTGGCCCGCTCCTTCAGACACTGCATACAGGCCACACTGCCAAAGAGCGTCCTCAAACCCTTCTGTGCTGCTCTCATCAAGGTACTCATACCCTGAGTGGAATATCTTCACAGTTCTACTGCCTCTCTTTTACTAGTACTGTACATGATAACAAAAAGAGACATTTAGCTCCCACTTTTCAAAACGTCTTTTAAAAGTGTACTTTTCTCTTTACCCATTTCAGCAAGTGAATGACTCTGCTCCAGAGGTACGAGACGCTGCCTTTGAAGCTTTGGGGACAGCCATGAAAGTGGTGGGAGAGAAAGCTGTGAACCCTTTCCTGACTGACTTGGATAAACTTAAACTAGACAAGGTAAGGATCAGAAGGATGAAGGGAGATGAAGTTCAGCAGTTCATCATCAGTCCATTATTATTCATTTACTGCTAACCTTTGTTTTTTCATGTTAACAGATAAAGGAGTCTGCTGATAAAGTGGAGCTCCCTGGAGGGAAGAAGGGTGCAGGTGGAGGGGGAGACAAGAAGCCAGCAGCTAAAACTCCTCTCCCTGCTGAAGCTCCATCCAAATCCTCTGCCCCACCCAAGAAGACTCAGTCTGCTGCTGCCAGCAAGGTATACTCAGAGCAAACTAAAATTTATAAATTAAAAATACTTTGTCACCCGGTTGTTCCCCAACTTTGCTGTGTGATCCAAAAGAATTAGGTGGTATAAACTGTCTACAGGTGGACTTGACCGTTTTTTGTCTCTTTTCTGCAGCCGTCAGCAGGTCCATCTAAGAAAGGCAAACCAACCTCTGCAGCTGGTGGAAAAAACAAGAAGACCTCTGACAGTAAAGAGTTCACAGAAAGTGAACTGTCGGTAAGTCTGTGTGCAAGCATTTACCATTCACTTGAAGCTTTTGTCAAAAGCTGTGGCGCAGTACCATGGGTGCACGCAGTATAGGCCCAGATATAGGATGACCCCTGCCCCCTTACCAACACCTATTTCAAGGCTTTTTGAAGTTGAGAAACATCTTCTCAGACTAGTCTGGTTTGGAAGAGTTCCCCTGAGCTAGAGTTAGTCCAAAGAGAAGATGGTTTTCTCTTTCATCACATAGTCACACTCTCCTGTCAGGCTCTTGGAGCAGTCAGAATGATTTTCTCTATAATTTTTTTTTTTTTTTAGCTGTCTTTTGGAGATCCTTGAGCCACCCTGGTATATTAACTGTCGGCCAGCAAATATGTGTAATATAAAATACATAAAGTAAAGAAGAATTAAACGATAATCTGTCACTCAGTCCAGGAAAGGGTTATTCACACAAAAAGAAACTGATTTTGGAATGGTGAATACCAACAGTCTAGTTTTAAGGTGTATGTGTGTGTGTGTGTTGTCAGGTTGAGGTGTCTGAGGAGCTGGCAGCAGGCGTACTTCCTGCTATTTGTCTACAGCAGCTGGATTCAGCCAACTGGAAGGAGAGACTAGCTAGTATGGAAGAGTTCCAGAGGGTAATGTCTTTGTTTTTTTTTCTTCCTTGGTGATGATGGCCAATTATTACAAAAACTACGGTGCCACTCATATTCCAGCAGTCGTCTTCATAAGACACAAATTGTTATACCTGGTTCTAGTTCTTCAATGATTTGTCGATTTTGAGTTGGAGATCGACACAAAATGAACAATTTAGATAATCAATAAATGGTGGTGGTTTTTGTTAGTGAAAATGTGACTCTTTTCTTTGTCGTAAGAAAAGTAAACAGAATATCTTAGTTTTGGACCTTTGCTCTAATAAAACACCTTAATGTAATTGATATTGGCAGTAATCATTAGTTGTAGGCCTACTCTGTACTACAGTAGATAGTAGTATTGATGTTAAAGGAACCCCTTTTGATTGAATCCTATTACTATGAACTTTTCAGTATGAACTATTGAAATCTCTACATAACACGTTGACTCTGGTTGAAGCCGTGGAAAATGCTGACGTGTTACCTGTTAGACAATAATATGCAGGAATGTTAATCTGTGGATCCATGTATGCTTCCAGGCTGTAGAGACCATGGATAAGGCGGACATGCCCTGCCAAGCCTTAGTCAGGATGTTGGCCAAGAAACCAGGCTGGAAGGAGACCAACTTCCAGGTAAGTGTGTCTGTGCTGATTGACCGAGTCCAGAAGCGATGCGGCAGCAGCTGCTATTTCCCCTTTTCCACCGCTGGTACCAGCTCAACTTGTCTCGACTTGCTATTTCATTGCAGATGCTTTTTCATTGCTGCACATAACCGTCAGGACGTAATGTTCAACGCAACACACACAAACCAGCTGTTTCACGAGCTTCTCAACTCCAAAAACATTTAAGCACATTTTTGATTCGCCATCAATTTTCGTAACACTGCCAATATTGGAAATCTACAGCGTTGATTTCTCGCCTCAAAACTTCTCAGAAGTGGATTTAGTGATGAAGTAGCTAACGAAAATTGTACATCGCCCATCTTGCTCATAGCCTGAAATGTTGACTTGGGCAAAGTTGTTCTGGTGTTCCGGCACTTATGTCCTCTCTTTGTTGGTGTTTCTGCAAGGACAAAGCTTTGCGGCTCCTCCACACACAAACACACACACACAGATACACCGTCATACAGTGAGGAAAATAAGTATTTGAACACCCTGCTATTTTGCAAGTTCTCCCACTCAGAAATCATGGAGGGGTCTGAAATTGTCATCGTAGGTGCATGTCCACTGTGAGAGACATAATCTAAAAAAGAAAAAATCCAGAAATCACAATGTATGATTTATTAACTATTTATTTGTATGATACAGCTGCAAATAAGTATTTGAACACCTGTCTATCAGCTAGAATTCTGGCTCTCAAAGACCTGTTAGTCTGCCTTCAAAATGTCCACCTCCACTCCATTTATTATCCTAAATTAGATGCACCTGTTTGAGGTCGTTAACTGCATAAAGACACCTGTCCACCCCATACAATCAGTAAGAATCCAACTACTAACATGGCCAAGACCAAAGAGCTGTCCAAAGACACTGTTGGAGCAATCATTAGAAAATGGAAGAAGCTAAACATGACTGTCAGTCTCCCTCGGACTGGGGCTCCATGCAAGATCTCACCTCGTGGGGTCTCAATGATCCTAAGAAAGGTGAGAAATCAGCCAGAACTACACGGGAGGAGCTGGTCAATGACCTGAAAAGAGCTGGGACCACCGTTTCCAAGGTTACTGTTGGTTATACACTAAGACGTCATGGTTTGAAATCACGCATGGCACGGAAGGTTCCCCTGCTTAAACCAGCACATGTCATGTCTTCAGTTTGCCAGTGACCATTTGGATGATCCAGAGGAGTCATGGGAGAAAGTCATGTGGTCAGATGAGACCAAAATAGAACTTTTTGGTCATAATTCCACTAACCGAGTTTGGAGGAAGAAGAATGATGAGCACCATCCCAATAACAGCATCCCTACTGTGAAGCATGGGGGTGGTAGCATCATGCTTTGGGGGTGTTTTTCTGCACATGGGACAGGGCGACTGCGCTGTATTAAGGAGAGGATGACCGGGGCCATGTTGCCAGATTTTGGGGAACAACCTTTCCCTCAGTTAGAGCATTGAAGATGGGTCGAGGCCGGGTCTTCCAACATGACAATGACCCGAAGCACACAGCCAGGATAACCAAGGAGCGGCTCTGTAAGAAGCATATCAAGGTTCTGGCGTGGCCTAGCCAGTCTCCAGACCTAAACCCAATAGAGAATCTTTGGAGGGAGCTCAAACTCCGTGTTTCTCAGCGACAGCCCAGAAACCTGACTGATCTAGAGAAGATCTGTGTGGAGGAGTGGGCCAAAATCCCTCCTGCAGTGCAAACCTGGTGAAAACTACAGGAAACATTTGACCTCTAATTGCAAACAAAGGCTACTGTACCAAATGTTCAAATACTTATTTGCAGCTGTATCATACAAATAAATAGTTAATAAATCATACATTGTGATTTCTGGATTTTTTTCTTTTTTAGATTATGTCTCTCACAGTGGACATGCACCTACGATGACAATTTCAGACCCCTCCATGATTTCTAAGTGGGAGAACTTGCAAAATAGTAGGGTGTTCAAATACTTATTTTCCTCACTGTATATGGAAGAGTCAAAGCACTAGCAAGAGTTCAACAAACTCTCAGAAATGCAACTACCTCGGCAGATGCAACACGCGAGCTCGTTGAAGATTTCAGGTCTGTGTGGGCGGAGTCAGATATTCCGCTTTGTAAACAAGGAGCTCGTGCCCACGTGTGTAGCCACGTCAGACCCACTAACCTGTTTTGATAGGGGAGAATTCACAATACATGTACTGCAACAATTCATTCATTCTGAATTGCCCCTTATTAAGTACTATTATAAAATTTTCTTACTTCACTTAACAAATAAAATCTGAGTTTGTTATCCTTGCTCATGTCTCCTCAGCGACCCCCCCCCCCCCCCGGATCCTTGCTCCAAACAGCCTTCCTGATGGCGGGCCAGAACTAAGATTGGGCTGTACCAGTTCTAATGTTATGGTCTCCTCTCTTCCTGTATAGGTGATGCAGATGAAGCTGCACATCGTGGCTCTCATAGCTCAGAGAGGACAGTTCTCAAAGACGTCTGCCTCTGTGGTTTTGGATGCCTTGGTGGATAAGGTCGGAGACATCAAATGTGGTGGAAACGCCAAAGAGGGACTCACTGCTATTGGAGAGGCCTGCTCACTGCCCTGGACTGCAGAACAGGTTTTTAGCCCCTTACTCTGGACATTCCAAAACGTCATCTTTGGATTTCATCTTTGACGAAGATAACCTGTATTTAATCTGTCTTATTTGTCAGGTTGTGTCTATGGCATTTGCACAGAAGAACCCAAAAAACCAGGCAGAGACTCTCAACTGGCTGGCTAATGCCATGAAGGAGTTTGGCTTTGCTGGGTAATTTACAGTGCTTATTGTATTATTATTATTATTATTATTATTATTATAGTAAGGATTACAGAAATAAGTATAATAACTTACTTTCATTTTAAACCATTCAATAAATGTTTTTACCTCCCCTCTCTGCAGTATCAATGTGAAGGGTTTCATCAACAACGTGAAGACAGCTCTAGGAGCTACTAACCCTGCTGTTCGGACGGCTGCCATCACCCTGCTAGGAGTCATGCACCTCTATATGGGAGCTCCTCTGCGCATGTTCTTTGAAGACGAGAAACCTGCTCTCCTCGCACAGATAGATGCTGAGTTTGAGAAAGTAGGGACTTCTGGGTGGATCCGATTCTTTTTAAAAAAACTCCTAAAATAAGGACTTCTCACCACATGGTCATCCTGACAAAAATGGTTGTGTACAGGGAATGATGGACATGACTGGGTAAATAAGATCTCTTTTTGTTTGCGGTCACCTTACAGATGCAGGGCCAGTCTCCACCAGCTCCAATCAGATTCACCAAGAAGGCGGCAGCAGCTGCAGAGGAGGATGGTGATGAAGGAGAGGAGCAGGAAGAAGATGGAGGCGGCGGAGGAGGAGGAGGACACGACATCATGGACCTACTGCCCAGGACTGATATCAGGTAACTGAACACTGACTGTGTAGGACACCTGCACTAATACACCAACACTAATTGACTAATGATGTGAACTAATGGTGGACCCATTATTGGCTTTAATATTAAGCATTGTTAAAAATCAGAATGTTTAAATAAAACAAATTTTCTAATTATCCAAAACAGTGATTTACAGTGTATAACACAAGTTCATTTAGGATGTTCTATGTATCAATTCTGTAACTTTTCAAAGAGATTTTGGGGCATTTTTTGCATTTATTTGAGAGAGAACAGTGGATAGCATCTGGAAACGGGGAAAGATCTGGACTGCTGCAATAAGGGCTCAGCCTTGTGTAGGGGGCGCGCACTATACCAGATGAGATAACCGCGCCCCATCTTTGAGTAACATTAGTGCCAGTGCAAACGGAACTAATGTTAGCTACCATACTGCGACGTAAGATCACTCTCCTGTATGAGATGGTGTCCTTACATGTTATAGGAAGCAGATGGTAGCATTGAAGGTGGCAAGCGCTCGAACGTTTAGCAAATCTAATGTCGACTTTGTATTTGCCTCTGTAGTTGCCCTTTACTAACGGGTTAGCAAGCAAGCTACATGAACGTGGGTACGATGGCTAAGTTAGTTAACCATAATTCAGCCAGCTGACTTTCAAGAAAGGGTATTGCGTTATTTCTTTCACATCACTTTCCAAGGCTGGTCACACTCAGACTGTGAGGTAAAACAGTGAAGATTTTCTAAAGAGAGTGAAAACTCAAACAGGTGTGTTTTGAGGTGTGTGGTGTTTTTGTTTTTAAGTATTAAGTTTTTAAATACATTTTGCTGCTGGCCTGGTCCATAGCCATACGTAACTTAGCTTCTATGCCGGCACTCCTGTCTGTTTGTCCAAACTGGGAATGTGGGATGTTGACCACTTTAAAAAATCCAAACTATTCCTTCTACCACGAAACCACATGATGTGTGCTATGTTTTAGACTTGGAATAGGACTCGGTCTCATTTTTGACTTAGACTTGTCTGTGTTGAATCTTGCATCATATGTGATTTTTGATGGAATATTGGAATAATATAAATTAATTTTGTTGTAACTTGGCAAGTTTTGCTATGCAATTTATAGACACTGAGTATATGCACACATATCCCATTGCTGTTTGTTTTACTCTAGGTGGAAGAAACTAGGTTAATCTATCTGCTCCCACCTTGATTCTGTGAGGTATTGTGCCCGTTTTCACTCTGTTCTCTCTGGTCTTTAAGTGACAAGATCACATCCGATCTGGTGTCTAAAATTGAGGATAAGAACTGGAAGATCAGGAAGGAGGGGCTGGATGAGGTCGCAGCCATCATCTCAGAGGCCAAGTTCATCACAGCCAACATCGGAGAGCTGCCTCTGGCCCTGAAAGGACGACTCGGCGATTCCAACAAGATCCTGGTCAGTAAGGGACAGTGTAGACAGATGAAACGATGGGCCTTTATTCAACATTTTGTCACTTGTTTCATTCAGTCTCATTTGAGATAAGTAGGGGTGTCACGGTTTTGGATGTACCTCAGTTTTGGGGTCATGGTTCAGTAGGTTTTCGGTACAGCAGGAAAATGATTCATAAATGGCAGTGCTCTGAATTGGCCCGTCAAATTTGGTGTCTGAATGTTTTAAGTTTTTGTTCTAGAGAAGTATTATTAACTACTTTTCTCTACAATAGGATTTTAAAATGTGGTGTGTGAAATGTCAGCTAAACTAACCACCATGTCTGTGGTCACCAGGTCCAGCAGACCCTTACTATCCTGCAGCAGCTGGCTGTAGCCATGGGACCTGGACTCAAGCAGCATGTAAAAGCACTGGGAATCCCTATTATCACTGTACTGGGAGACAGCAAGGTACTGGGAACATACACTCACATTAGAAACACCATTTTAATGCATACATCTGTCTTAATTTTTACTTTGTAGAATTACCTTTTTAAATACTGCTTAATTCATTTATTAGTTTTTGTGATATTACAGGAGAGATCAAAACAAAATGTGATGGAAATATAAAACAGAACTATATAGAGGGAGGGCAGTAAATGTTAGAATAGAAGAATAGAATAGTACAGCTAGGCTTGTTGGAATTCCAATCCCAGGGGAGCATTATGTCTCAACAAACAGAATGCGAATCATGCGAGTTTCTATCAGCGGGGCTGAGGCAAAGAAACTCCACAGGACAAAAACATGGGGGGGGGGGGGAGCTATATTCAGTTTGAAAATGTTTTAACAAATACTGTTAACCTAAATAGTAGGTTATGACTTTAATTACTGTACCACGGCTTCCCGCTCAAACATGTGATGCCTCCGGTTTTAAGCTATTTTAGTTGACTTTAGTCTGACTCGTTGTTGCTAACTAGCTAGCTTTTCACAGTCTGGACCAACTGTGCTGTGAAGAATAGCAGACGGGACTTCTTATTTCTTTTCTGTGGCAGCAAACACAACACACAACCTTTCAGTAACTATTACATTGCAACCTGAGCTTATGTACACAGTACGGCTGACTAAAGTGAGGTATGGTAATGATTTATATATCTCTGTTCCTCTGCAGCTTAATGTAAGGACGGCTGCCATGACCACTCTGCAGGCCTGGGTGGAGCAGACTGGGATGAAGGAGTGGCTGGAGGGAGAAGACCTGTCAGAGGAGCTGAAGAGAGAGAATCCCTTCCTACGACAGGAGGTACACTCCGATAAACAAACTCTACTGCTTATTCAGCTTGTACCTTCTAGAGACAACTGAAACTTCAGATGTACATTTTCCTGAGCAAAATCATAGAACACAGGATGCTGATCGGAGAAACTCTCTTTACCACCCAGGTGCTAGGCTGGTTAGCAGAGAAGCTGCCCACCCTGAGGGCCGTGCCTGGGGATCTGATGCTGTGTATCCCTCAGCTCTACACCTGCCTGGAGGACAGAAATGGAGACGTTAGGAAGAAGGCTCAGGACGCTCTGCCCACCTTCATGATGCACCTGGGTTACGAAAAGATGACAAAGGCTACTGGGAAACTCAAAGTACTGATCCCATATATTGGGCCATGACTGAATACATTTTCAGTGCCGTACCTCAGACGGTGATTTGTTAGCAATAATTAATGGCTCTCTGTCGTCTTCCTCCTCCCTGCAGCCTGCCTCTAAGGATCAGGTGGTAGCCATGTTGGAAAAGGCCAGAGCCGTGATGCCGGCTAAACCCGCAGCTCCTGCCAAAGCTGGAGGGGGGAAAGGCTCTGGAGAGCCAAGCAGAGCTGCTTCAGGTCTGTATGATCGTACAACCACAGTCTCAGGGTCAAACCATTTCTGTGCTACTTTGTACTAGTTGTACACTTTTTTTTTAATTTAAAGTAGGATTGGGTTCAGATAGCTGATGAACGTTTGGATCCTGTTCACATTTGGCAAAATAATTGTGTTCACTAAACTTCAACACAAACCCATCCTTTTATCTCACCTCGCTCAATTTTTCGCACACGTCTTAATTTTAGCCGCCATTGGCCGTGACCTTTACCAGCTGACAGATTGTATCAGCTGTAGCTATTTAATGTTAACTCCTTAATGGCTGAAACGAAATGTTCACCTTCACCAGGCTGGTGTCTGTACGGAGTCAACGATCATTTGTGAGGGCCCAAAACAACATCTTAACTCCTGCTCTATTTCAGTAACAGTGAAAACCTGATCTATGTCCTGTCCTCTGCAGCCTCCAGGTCCCAGCCAGCTAGTGAGGACTTTACTGACAGTAAACCTGAAGTTAAGAAGGTCCGAGGAGGAGTGGCTGCTAAGAAGGTATGTCTGTCTGGATCAGCACATTTAGATATCTTTATGCTGCCTAATATACGTTTTAATGCAGTCTGGCTGAAGGGGGGTTGGATTTGGGTTTACTTCATTTCAGTAATGAATAATGAGAAGGACATATCCAGCTTGACCCATCAGTTGTGTGATTTAAAATGTTTAGACACTTTGTGTGTGAAAATGCCGACCATTCGTACTTCAGTTGTTGTCAGCCCTGTTAGGCATGTACATTTGACACATTTTTTGCACACCATTTGGTTTTTGTCATTTCATGATCGTGACGTGTAAACATGATGTGGTTCTTCTACTCACCCAGCCTCCCTCCCCTCCCGAGGAACCTGTTCCTCCCCCTCCCTCCAAGGACAAGGACAGTAATGCTAGTAAAAAGCCCCCCAGCAAAGGGAAGTCTGCTGCTGGCAGTCAACAGGTAGATGTGCAGCAGGTGTCCTTGTGAGGAAACTCAGTCCAGAATGTCTTTACACTTCATCTACATGCTGCTACTTCTTCAAGCCAGCCGTGAGCTCTGGAGTACACGAGCAGCAGATGTGGGCAGAGTTTCTCAGTGGAGACTTGTTGGCCTGACAGATGTTAACAGCTTCTCTCCGCTTTGACCTGGTTGGGTCTTTGCTCGGCCCAATCCTGTTTCTTTCTAATCACTAATTCTGCCACTATAACCAGATGCACGTGGACACACAGTTGTTGGGTGAAACAGCAGACAGCTGTTTTAAGCTTTTAATATGTAACAGCATACTAACATGAGAGTAATCAAAAGGTGCACTATATGCATGCTAAATGACCACCAACTGAGGAGGGCCCATGTCACTTTGTGTTTCATGTTTTGGAATAATTTCACTTCCTTGTTTCCACACTCTGTTTGTGTTAACCTGCACTGAGATCTTTTCAGCATAACAGCCAAATCACTCAACAAACAAAATCCCATGAGAAAACACGATTACACCCAATTAGAAGTACACATCCACAGGCGGAGCATATTGGTTCACTCACCCTCCCTCACGCTGTGGTGTTTCCTCACCTCTCAGGGCGCAGCCGGAAAGAAGCCTGCAGCCAAAAGCGTAAAGGATGATGAAGATAAGTCTGGGCCAATTTTCATCCTCATCCCCGGTGCAAAGGAGCAGAGGATCAAAGAGGAGAAGCAACTTAAGGTACCCGACTGGCTGAAACACATGGCATGGAGGAGACTTTTTGTTCCTTTGGGAGTCCGCTGACTGGTGGTGCTGAAATTAGATTTACTAAAACAGGAAAACAATCCATTTCTGGTAAAGAGCAACACAAACCATATGAAACCAAACAAGTCTTTGACCACAGCTTGTTTTACCATACTTGTATATGGTAAACATGTTAAGCAAGTATAATCCTTGCTTATCTCTGCTCCTCTCAGGCCCCTCTCAGACTTTCCTCCTCCAATATAAATCATTGACTATCTGAATATAATAAAGCGATACATGCACAATCATCAACTAGCTATAAGTAGCTATGGCATGACTGTGGCTGTTTCTCAATACCAAGTTCGAACTTCTGTACTTTAAAGCTCGAATTTGGCAAGTTTGGCTCGGGAGTACAAACTCCAGGAACGGGAGCACGCAGTCCGTCATTCAGCAATTGGAACAACAGCGGACTTGATGACAGCCGGACCAGTTAGCGGACGGGACGTCACATCTCCGAAAACGTCGTAGCAATTTTTTTAAATCAGCTCTGTGAGAAATCAACCACAAATTTGGAGTTTAAACAACTATATTCCCGCATAAAAAAAACTCTTAAAACTACTATATGGCACACAAGAATGGCAGGATTATAAATTTCAGTTGTGCGTTTTCTCGTCCGACATTTCTGCTTTTTGGCGGCTAAATGCATTCTGGGATATCACCCAGTCACCACCACCAATGCAGGCCCGGTAAAACGGAGTGAGAACACATCTGGGTTTTTGACTGTACTTGCAGACTTTTGAATTGGAACAGTACTTTGGCTGCGACTGACGTTTCTCAAGAACGCAGATTGAGAAACAGCCTATGTGGCCACTGACATGCTAACTTATTGGAAAGCTAGACACTGGTGGTTCATGAGCACCGGAGGCTGCATGCAGTAAACTGCAAGCTAATGTAAGCTAACCTCTATGGGAAATTTCTTAATAGGAAGCACAGTAGGGCTCTTGCCTCAGAAAGTCGGAATATGTAGATTCAGCGACTGGAGTGCTTATTTCTCAACTCAAACTTGTTCAGAACCAGACTGGTGGACTGCTAAGTGAAAGTTTCTGTAGCCTAGTTCAAACAACAGTCTGTCCGTCCAGTGCGATCAACTCTTCATTTGACAGAGCGGTCAGTAGCCGGGCAGGAGAGCCACTCCGTGGTGCCCTAGGATTTTCATAACTGAACCATGACTTGGCACAATTGGAAATCAACATGTCAGTTTTCCTCTGTCTATCCCACAAACTGTCAAGAGTGTAAAAGAGGGATCACTTTTAACACAGTGTTTCTTTTGTAGATTTTGAAGTGGAACTTCATTACTCCTCGAGATGAATATGTGGAGCAGCTGAAAACTCAGATGTCCACCTGCTTCGCTAAGTGGCTGCAGGATGAGCTCTTTCACTTTGACTTCCAGAGACACGTCAAGGCTATAGGATTCATGATTGAGGTAGTGGTTGGTTTAATTAAATATATTGTGTATTAAATATTTGCAGGAGGCTAGTTCTGGTAATAAAGCCTGTTTGTGCGGTTGTATTTGACAGAGGTTGGAGTGTGAGAGGGAAGCCACCATCGGCTGTCTGGACCTGATTCTGAAGTGGTTCACTCTGCGGTTCTTTGACACCAACACCACAGTCCTGATGAAGGTGCTGGAGTATCTAAAGCTGCTGTTTGCCATGCTGAACTCAGAAAACTATCACCTGACTGAGTACGAGGCCACCTCCTTCGTCCCCTACCTCATACTCAAGGTGAGCATGCATCACACAGTGATGGAACAAGCCACTGAAGAGCTTTTCTTGCTCATAGTTTCTACTGTTTTCTTCAGGTTGGAGAGTCAAAGGATGTGGTTCGCAAAGATGTTCGGGCCATACTGACCATGCTGTGTAAGGTTTACCCAGCATCCAAGGTCTTCCCTTTCCTCATGGAAGGAACCAAGTCCAAGAACTCCAAACAGAGATCAGGTAGGGTCTCTACAGACAGCGAGCTGACTGGCTAAAGCTGCACCAAGCTCTGTCCAAACACTTTGTCCTCTGTCAGAAACAATTCTACTAACTGTTTGCTTCTGTGGTTTCCTCCCTGTCCTCAGAATGTCTGGACGAGCTGGGTTGTTTGATAGAGGGCTATGGGATGAATGTATGCCAACCTACTGCAGCCAAGTGTCTGAAGGAGATAGCCGTTCACATTGGTGACAGAGACACATCTGTCCGCAACGCTGCCCTCAACACTGTGGTTGCAGTCTACAACGTCTGTGGGGACCAAGTCTACAAACTAATAGGAAATGTAAGAATTATCTTTATCGTGTGTGTGTGTGTGTGTGTGTGTGTGTGTGTCGTAAGAGTCGGCCCTAAAACCTACTCTGGATATCTGTGTAATTTGACTTTAATCTTAACCCTATCCTTTCCAGTTGTCAGAGAAAGACATGAGCATGTTGGAAGAGAGAATCAAGCGTTCCGCCAAGAAGACTCCTGCGGCTCCTGCCAAGCCAAGCGCGACGGAGAGGTCTCAGAGAGAACATCCGGCTAACCCCAATGCCACCTTCCTCCGCAAGCCCGCACAGGAAGACCCCAACAAACTCAAGTAGGTCACCTCTGACTCAGGGCTGTGGGAGAAGTTAACCTTAGCTTGAATAAAAACCAGTAAAGCTGGCAAATAATACTTGCTCACCAAGAAATGCATATTACTGAAGAACAAAACTTCATTGTATAAGCAACACATTCATGTCCAAAGAACTTGAATGCCAGTTACTATAAATAGATGCAAGATATGAACACAATTCATTCTATCTAGTGTAAATTAACAAAACATTATTCAAACAAAGTTAAAATGACTGTTGTTCTGGTTACACATTTAGCCACTTTTAAGGTGACAAAATTTATTAAAACATTCTCCAGATAATTAGAGTAACATGACACGTGTGCGGGGGAAAAATGTATTTCTTCGATGCATCGCGATTCTCTAAGATTATGTCTCGGTGCCAAAAGTCTATAATCAGACCTCACCCATATCTGCCAGTCAGCGGAACAAGGCAAGTCCCCCTCCCTACAGCGTTCAGGCAGCCTATCACTGCAGCCAAAGGAATATGCTATAGAGTGTTTATCTCTGCATAAATGCGACCACACTCTTATATACTGTATGTCATAGAGAATACCAAATTTTTTTTACTGCTTTTACTTTATTTGAGTGCCTCTTACAGTAAGAATGATGGCCAATGAGCACTGTTTAAAAATAAATAAAAGAGAGAATTTGCATCGCACCTCTAAAACAAGTCGTCTTACTAAACTAAAAGATAACGGAAGTAAATTCATCTGTTTATTTGAAGCATGTATTGTAACAGGTTACACAGTTTTTAATAGTAGCAAGTAACTGTGATGCATTGATAATCTGTTTTATGATGGCATGGTAACCCTCTGAATCAGAATTGTGAGGTCTACAGATTCACACTTCCTTTTAAACATCTGACTAGTTAGAACTTATTTACCTATTTAATAAATATTCATTCCTCCATGCTGTTTATTTTACAGCATTCACTCACAGTGAGCATGATTAGGCTTTTAGACACTGAATAAAAAAAATATATCTTTGGAAGCATCATATACAGACGGAGGACGAAATAAAGGAGAAACCTGAACAAAGGATGCAGAAACGTCTCCAAATGCAGATGCTTCGTGCACCAGGGCTCACTGAATGGGTTGAGTAGGAAAATAATGTGAATAAAATGCTGCGGCCTTTACAGCCACCATCTATAACACCAAATGATGGAATCTAAACTCTGATCTTCAGATCAGAGTTTTATCTTTGTCTGTCTCCACTCTTGCTCTGTCTGGCTGTGTTTCCGTCTGCTGTACTCTCAGATGTCAATGAGATGAACTTAATTTTAATGTGGTGGATTTAAAGGAGGGAATATCTGGTGTTCATGCCTCCAGCTGAGTTCCACAGACTGAAGCTGTTCTGGAGGCTCGTGGTGGCCTGACTCCATACTGAGAGGCTCCATGCTGCTCATTTCTTTCCTTTGTCACTCATCTGTATCTTGATGTGTTAATGCTAAACATTTCCTTCTCTCCAACGCAAAAGTAGACCTAGATCAGTAATGGAAATTTCGTGCCCATTCTCATCCCAGGGTGTCAAATAGCTTTGGTTTGGGTCTGGGCTTTCACCTAACTCCAGTGTAACCCATCCATGTCATGTGACGTAGTATACAGAACCAAAAGTCAAAGTTGAGTTATTGAAAATTTTAGGTTGCATAAAGTTACATATGTGACTTAAGTAATGTAGTTATTTCAATTTTTTCCAAAACCTAGCCAAACTTAAGCCATTTGACAACTTTAACCGCATCTTTCAAAAAGGCGTTTCACAGGAGATTTAGAATTCAACTTACAACACACACATACTGCACAACAAAACCTCCAGCCAATGCTGGTTGGGTGAAGAAAATAACTTTGTCCACAGTCTGTTTTCCTGTGTCTGTAAATCACTGTGGATAACGAGGCGTTTCACTGGCACTCGGGGAGCATATGTTTTTACAGACAGAAGATTAGTATGCCTCCAAACTGATGTAGTTAACTTTTTATTATTAAGGTTGTCGCCTGATGTGAAACTTTTCCAACACTTTTTCATAATCATGTTATTCATTGATTCTGTCAACCAATCACTTCTTTAATCTGTCTGATCCATAACACATTTCTACATGCTGCTTGACTGTAGTTAGATTAATGCCATAAATCTTTTGGATGTTTGTGTTCTGCTCGCAGCTGTTCTGTCCTCCTCTTCTTGTCCTGTTTTATGGAGTCGTTGCATGTTGGGTTGCTCTCACAGATGCTTTTGTTTGAAAAGAAAATTGGAAAAAGAAAATTTAATCTGTGAAGCCAACCTCAGTATATGTGTCTCTTGCTGGCTGGTGTGCCAGCTGCCTGCCTGCCTTCAGTCTGTCTCTTAACCCTTCATTTTTCTTCCTGTGTGATTTCCTCTGTTCTGCCTGCCTTCCGTTCTGGAGCAGAATAATGTATCGCACGTATAGGATGTGAGTACCTCTTCCTCCTCGCCCCTCTTTTCCACATAATGTCATTTTAAGAACTCTATTCTGCAATGTAATACTCATTATTCATAAAACTAATGAACATTTGAGTTTGAGTCATGCTTCTTCACACAGTAGGTAATAAGGGTCTGTCCTTTTCCACTGTCAATGGTAGGTAAAGCACCAGACTAATGTTCAAAATGCCCTTTCCATGTTATCGAAAGACATCTGCGCTGCTTTACCTAGTCTGTGCTTGGGAAAATAGCCACGTGTCTGCTTTTAACATAATACTGGATAACCTCTCTCTCTGTTTCTCCTCAAACTGCTGAAATGGTCTGCCAAATATAGGTTGGCACGGCTACTGCAGGATGTGAAGGGTGGCTACTTTATTTACTTTATATTCGCATCATTCAGTGAGAGCAAGCACGCAGAACTCCCTGCATTCAGATTGTACACATTACATTAACCCTCAAGTCTGGTATTTGTAAGTAGTGCTCTGGATTTGTATAGCACCTTTCTAGTCTTTGCAACCACTCAAAACACTTAACACCACCTCATTCAAACACTGATGGCCAGCTGCACATCAGAACGGAAATAACATCCATACACACCCTCACAACTTGGGGGTTCGACACTTTGACATGCACTGACGACCGCTCTACCCCCTGAGCCACATTCTCCCTGCAGAGGATGGTGTGCAGAGTGGCAGGTGATACTAGAGCCCAGATGACTGTGGCACGCTCCATCGCTGCGCTGTTCTAACATTCTACCTTTGAACTGTTAACATCCAGCAAGAAGGGTTGGTTCTTTCACAGCTGTTTAACACCCAGAAGAAATCAGAGCATGTATGAAAACATGAATAAATGGGTGCATGGAATCAACAACCAACTTGCTTTTGTTTGATCATAGAGTATTTGGTGTTAATGCACCAGCTAAGCTGCAATAATCACTTCATTTCCCAGATATTTTTGGCTACAACCATCAAAACAAGAAAATTTCTACTTGGCAAAAGCATTTGTGGCCAACAGCTTTTATTTTTTTTCAGTGATAAAAATGTGTTGATTTAGTCATGTGTAATAAGTCTCAAAAGCTTGTAATGTGTAAAACATGTTACACATGTGTAAAAGCTTGTGTCTCTCAGAACTGGAAATAAATGGCACTGATCGATAATATCCACCCCCGCACCCCATTTCCACCATCTATCCCTTCCTCCCTTCGTCCATTCAGCCAAGCCCGTCAGAACGCCCAGCACAGCGAGTCCTCCCACCCATCCATCCCCAAGGAGTTCCAATTAGACCTGGACATGATCGAGATGGACCAGAGCGGAGTGTGTGAGCTGCCGGACCTCGTCCAACACAAGCTGGATGAGCTGCTGGAGCCCATCATGATTCCCGAACCAAAGTAAACGCACTCAGAAACACAACGTCCAACATGCACAGTTCAGATAGAGGGTAGAGCTGTAAAAACACAGATTCTGTGATTTAACATTGCTTGTGTGTTTTTGTGTTCAAAGGATGCGTTCCGTCTCTCCACATTTTGATGACCTCCACAACAGCACAGCCTCCACCATCAACTTTGTCATCTCTCAGGTGGCTAGTGGTGACATAAACACCAGCATACAGGCACTGGCACAGGTAAAACACACATGCATAGAAATGTCTGAAATTAGGATTGCAGTTAGGTGTGATCGCGGTTCTTAGGGTTAGTGAAGCAAAATAACAAAGTTATCCTGCTGACCAAAGCTCAGTGATCTCTGCACACTGCTAAGGAAATATCTAGCTCTTTAGCTGCTAAATGCTCCACTGTGTCTGTGGGCTGCTGGGTGCTGAGGAAGTAGTGTACATTCGGATCTTATAGCTGTCTGCTGAAAATGATGAGAGTGAAGCAAAACAGTATAGTTGTGGACCGGACGGCTAAAGAATGAGCTATCTGAGATATCTCTGTGACGAGGTTGCTCATAGTGGCGAATCTACATTGTCATGATGCATTACTATAAAAATATCTATTCTAGCTGCTATGAGATGAAACGTGTGTGTGGCTTTTCTCCCCGCAGATTGACGAGGTGTTGCGGCAGGAGGACAAAGCAGAAGTCATGTCGGGACACATTGATCAGTTCCTCATCGCCACCTTCATGCAGCTGAGGCTCATCTACAGCACACACATGGCTGACGATCGGCTGGACAAGAAGGACATCATCAAACTCTACAGCTGCATCATAGGAAACATGCTGTCTGTGAGTCACTGCTACTCTGCCTCATGCACTGCCATGATACGTCAGTAACACAGTGAGGGTCATTAAGAATCTGACGAGGAGCAGGCGACACCGATGTCTTCTTGAACCCCATCTTGTCTGTCTCTGTCAGTTGTTCTCTATGGAGTCCCTGGCCAGAGAGGCGTCTATGGGTGTGTTGAAGGACCTGATGCACGGTGTGATAACACTGATGCTGGACGGCAGAGTGGAGGACATCGAAGATGGACAGCAGCTAATCAGATCTGTCAACCTGCTGGTCATCAGAGTTCTGGAGAAGTCTGACCAGACCAACATGATCAGGTTAGTCTAAAGAAACGGTTCACTCAGAATTAAATTATACTCGAATTTGCTCAAGACACTAACATTGTTGGGCTTTTGGGATAAGTTGCATAACTTGTTCAGAACGATGATATTTAGTGTTTATTTCACACTAATATGTACATGTATTAAAGATTCAGTGTGTAATACTTAGGAGGCTTTATTGACAGAAATGCAATGAGATCATAACTGTTTTCCGTGGTGTTTAAAGACCTTGCATAATGAAGCATTAGGTTATTACCTTAGAATGAGCCGACATGTTTCCCTGCCATGTGTCTGCAGTAGTAGCGTTAGTTGTAGTTGTCGACTGGTTTATTAGAAGTAAGAAAAGAGAAATTTGGACAAATGGAGGACCACGCGTATTATTTAGCACAACAGTGTGTTGGCCACCGTAGCTTCTCCTGCACGCTTGGAAATGGCGGGGGAGAGTGGTGACAGGTGGTGCATTCATGTGGCGTTGGAATAATAAGATTTTTTTATTTTTTTTCCCCTCCAGTCTTTGTTTTAAAAAGAGGAATAAAGTGAACATGGGACATACAGAAATATACAGAAAAGTACAAAAAGATATTTATAGAGGACCATTTGTTGACAGTTTTCACAGCCTTTTTGTTGTTGGATTTGGAAATTAAAGATTTCATCGTTGTCTGCGTGTTGTTTATAGGCTCTGATAATGCTAATCCAACACAACTTTGTAGTAGTTGATTCCACTTTCCCGACTTTATAGCACATGAACACACTAAAGTAGAACGACTTCATAAATTGGGAAATGGGACCATCCGAGGAGCACGTGAATGCACCATGATCCTCTGCTTGCAATTCACAACCACCACCACTAGATGCCACTAAAACTTACACTCTGAACTGTTAAAGGTGACATGTGGGGGCACAGGAAGTTTAGTTGGTGGTGTCGGCATCCCGCTTTCAATACCAGACTGCGGCCCTTTTGCTGTGTGTCTTCCAACGTCTCACTCCTCATTTCTTTCTTCTCTATCCTATCCCAATACAGGCTCAAAATATCTTTAAAAAATAAAACAAAAGCAACAGTGACCTGTGGAATTTCCTTGTAAACAAACAAAAGTTGTTCACAATCAGCATTAATTACCGAATTGCTGTTGTAGTAATATCAAATGCCAACAAGAAATGTAGTGTCCAGTTCTCTTTAAAGTAAGATATGCTTCCTAAATGCAAACTGCCACTGTTTGATGCTTTTATACTATTACCGATACCATCATGCAGACTCGTGCAGAATAACTAAAATTCCAGAAGAAACTGAATAAACATTTTTTACCTGCTCCACTCACTCTTTCCCTTCCTGCCTCTCTGCAGTGCGCTGCTGGTTTTGCTTCAGGACAGTTTAGTCACAACAGCTGGTCCGCCCATGTTCTCTGAACTGGTCATGAAGGTAAGGAGTGTCACAGCAGAGGGCCTGCCACATTCTACTTCCTACTTGTCCTAACTCCATTAAAATGGCACGTCACGCACTTCAGACAGATTCTCCTGTGTTTGTGTGTGTGTTCAGTGTCTGTGGAGGATGATCCGCTTTCTCCCAGAGACCATCAACAGCATCAACCTGGATCGGATCTTACTGGACGTCCACAACTTCATGAAGGTTTTCCCCAAAGAGAAGCTGAAGCAGCTCAAGAGTGACGTCCCCCACAGAACCCTCAAGACTCTGTTACATACACTTTGCAAGCTCACCGGGGCCAAGGTAACACACACACACACACACACACACACACACACACACAGTTGAGTTTTTGATTTAACAGTTACACAGAAACATTTTTACAAAGCATAAGGCAGTGGAACTGTAAGTATTTCTTTTTTACTCACTGGGTTTTGATCGATGTATTAATGCACTGAAACAGATCCTGGACCACCTATCAATGATAGAGAATCGTAATGAGTCAGAGTTGGAGGCCCATCTGAGGCGGTCGGTCAAAAACTCTGGAAACCTGTCAGGACTTAAGAGCGACCGTGGCAACGAGAAGACTGGTCTGCGCACGGTGAGCAGCACATGCCAAATCCACAGCACACACTTCAGTAGCATTTTATTGGGATGTTGTCAAGAATTTCCACAAATTGTATCTAATTCACTCTGTTGCATAATTCTAATGATAGATGTAACGTGAATATGTCTTTTATGTTTTGTTACCAGGAAGATCGCATGTCAAAGGCAAAGGTCAGTGACATTCTGTCAGAGATCTTTAAGAAGATTGGCTCCAAGGAGAATACTAAAGAGGTCAGCTCCGTTCTTCAGATCATTCTTTGTGTGCCGTTTGTTTGAAACGTTTTCATTGACTTTTTTTTAACTTTGCAGACAGAAAACAAAAGCTTTATTGGGACGAAAAGCCTGGAAACCAGAAGTATTGCTTCAATAACGTATCCAATCTTCTTCGCAGGGTTTGACGGAGTTGTACGAGTATAAACAGAAGTACTCGGATGCAGACCTGGAGCCCTTCCTCAAAAACACGTCCCAGTTCTTCCAGAGCTACGTGGAGAGAGGCCTGCGTATGATCGAGTCTGAGAGAGAGGGCAAGACTCGCATCCAGACCTCAGCAGGTACAACTGGAGGCTGTCACTGTGGGCTCTGGTCAGAATGTGGTCAGAGGTGTGTAGTAACGCTGTCATGTGTGTGTGTCTCTCTGCAGTGATCCCTCAGCACGGCGTGGACTCCGGTCTGAGCAGTAACAATGAAGAGCTGAAACCAGCTGTTTACTATGAGAGACTCAAGATCCTCAGACAGAGACAAGGCCTGGAAAACACCTCCAGGGTTAGTTTACTCATACACACACACACACACACTTATGACTTCATACATTTGTCACTTCAATCTGTTGCGTCCAAGTGTTTTAGATCACCGAAGATCCGATTTAAATCACTCCACATGTATATCTGTGGACTCGGTCTTTTGTGGGTTTGGTCGAAACATGGCTCATATTATGGCTGATTTTAGCTTTTCCCAGATATATCTGCGCTTTGAGTATTCGCAAGACTAGCGAAACAGCATACAGAGCAATCTCATACCATCTTTTTTGTTGTTTCCTTTAAAATAATTAATATTAAATAATAATAAGGCTGGGCATGTTAACGCATTTATTAATTAAAGCTGACAATTATTTTATTGCACGTTAACACTTTATTTTTATTATTTGAAAGTCCGTTGCTCACTGGCTCTGAATACACATACAGTCAAACCATGGGTCACAGGAAGGGCAGGATGTTGATCAGCCTGCGGAGGGAGGCTTCAGCAGACTACGCTGGATGCAGCGTGTGGGAGAAGTAGATGAACAAAAGACAAGCGATCAAACGCCACGGTGAAGTGGAGAGCTACACCCTGCATGCTGGATAGTATTGGGGAGGTGTCGGTCTTAGGAACGTTCTTAAAAGCACAACGTAGTCTCTTGGCCCCGCGGGTTCTCTCTGGTGATCAGAAAGGGAGACGGCGCTCCGCGAGACGGCAGGTGCTCTATTGAGAGTAACCACGGCAACTGCTTCTGTGCGCTACACAGCTGTAGCCTATTTAACTATTTAAGTTAAAATTATAGGCTACATAACTTCACCTGGTTTTGCAGGGATGCTCTGCCATGCGAATTCCCTCCTGTTTGTGTCCTATTTAGTAAACAGTAATGGATTCTGGAACCACAAACGGCGAGGATCAGTCTCTCTTCCAATGATTTGGCAGTAGGCAGGCGTGTGCGTGAAACCACTTCACCTCACTCTAACAGGGACACCTGCTGCTGAACATAGACTGTTTCTGCTGCTCCCTGATAAAAGAGAAAATGTTTCTGCTGATACCTGTTCAGGGAAAAAAAAACAAGAAAACAGATTTATATGTTGCTGATAAAAGGTAATGCCCTGGCAGTGGCAAATATCTTTGTTTTATGTTTGATTACATTAATGTTTAAGTTCAGATTTACAAGAAGTGCTACTGTGTAAAGGGAATCCTGCTGGTAAAAAGCAGCTTATTTGTTTAAAGTGTTTGCAAACCACATATTAGTGCTTTTTTGTGTATATAGCAGTACTTATTTAAATTACAATTATGCGATGCACTACTTTAGAATTCAGTATTCAATTTTACGCGTAACAATGCGATTAATGCCCAGGATTAAATAATACACTATATTACACTATACTCCACTACAAATATTTTAAATGCCATGTACTTTGTTACAAATAACTGAACAATAGAGTATACAGGCCACAGCTAAATTGCTTCACACTGTGTCAAACAAATAACAAAATAAGTCCCGTGAAGAAGGAAACGAGGCTTCTTCTCCTGAGGTTTTTCTGCCCTGCGTCACTCTCCTGCTGCTCTCCCACCGCAGCATGTTGGCTGCTGTCGTCATCGTCCTCTCCTAAATCTCTCTTTTTCATCAGCTACAGCTATCCCTTCCAGGCCCTCTCTTGCTGCTTCAGCTGCCACAGCAGCAGCGCCTGAAGCCTGGAAATATTCCAGACAAATGAATTGAATAGTTAATCACACTGGTCAGACTGTTCAGCTCTCCCACGCGTATTTTCGGAAGTTTATAGGTACGCTGTTTTTGCTAATTCTTCTGTCCAGACTGTCTTTGCGCCTCCTCAGACGAGCTTGGCTGCTCTCCTTTATGTCACATCATGTTCAGTTTTCTTTGAGGCAGATGTAAAACTCCCTCAGAAAGACTCCAGATGTTACTGTAGTGTATTTATATCTTTGAACATGTAGTTTGTTTGGTTTTTTTAAACATTTAATCCAACCTGCCAGCTGCTCTTAAAGCATTTTAGGTTTGCACAGTTTGAACAGCAACATCTCTGAGTAATACTTTATGTGTGTACATAATACAAACTAACGTATCTCTTCACCTTCTGCCCCTCTCCACCCGCGGCAGGGTGTCGGAGGAAGTGAGGACGAGCCTCAGCAGCGACCTCCCATCTCCTCCCTGCTGTCCTCTAAGCCGTCGGTGGCCTCCTCCACCGACATGCTCCACAGCAAGCTGTCCCAGCTCAAAGAGTCCCGAGAGCTGTACCAGCAGGAACACAACACACACTCCCCGACACACCCCCGCTCAGCTTCACCCGCAGCCAACCTGGACGACCTGAAGAAACGTCTGGAGAGAATAAAGAGCAATCGGCAGTAAGGAGCGCCACATCCCCTCCTCCATCCTCCTTCCGCAAAGCCTGTGGAGTTCAGCTGGTAGAAAATACAACTTCCTCTTTGACTCCCTCTGTGTTTATGTTCATGTTCTGAAAGACGGAAATAGAAAGCACTTTGACACTAAAGCCCACCCCTCTGTATTCTCTAACCAGGTAGCAACAAACACACCCTACAGTTTGAACCTGACTCCACCCACTGTGCCTGTAACTCATTAAGAATGAAACGCACCCTAATCTGATTGTAGCCGAGTACATTCAGATTGAACTAAGGCTGTCTGGGATATTTAGCCTCCACACACACACACACACACACACACACACACACACACACACACACACACACACACACACACACACACACTGCAGAAACCATCCACACATTTTTAAACTATTACTAAAACGCAAATAAATAATCTACAGACATCAAGTCATTTTTGTTTTTAATATCAACCATAAGGGCAAAAAAAAAAAAAAGCTGAGTCCAGGAGTGTCAGCTGTAGTTCTGTACAGTTTCATCTTTATGAGCAAACCATCACACCACCCTCCACAGCCGTCTCGTTCAGGGTGCTCTCCTCTCTCCTGCATACACTTTTCACTGGATGATGATGATAATAATAATAATAATAATGGAATAGTGAAGCCCCCCCTCTCCCTCTGTTTTAGTATCGCAGCACAATGTGTTTGTACATATTTAAAGGTTTTTAACCACTTAACTGTTATGAAGCGCTTTTTCACGTGGTTGCAGGAAAAAACAGAAGTCAGTAAATGTTGTTTCTTCCTGTTTTACCACGACGCGCCGTGTTGCTAGTGCTCTGTTTGGATGGAGAAACACGGCTGTAAAGAGCCCATCTGTAGCTGTGTAAATGCAGCGTGGGACTGCCCCCTCATGGCTGAACACTGTCAGTAATCAGAGTATCAGTTTGGGATTCCCAGTGACTTCAGCTGAAGTCCTGTTTATACTGGGGGCGTCTGGTGGAACTGCAGAGACGTTTGCTATGTCTGCATCGTAAAATAAACATACAATAGTTGACAGGGCTTTCTCCTGCTCTTACTTTAATCAACAAAGTGTCTGATATCTATCCATTTCAGACATTTTGCTGTCTGTAGGGCCACAAAATAAGTTGAACTGCATTTACACATGACATCAAGCCCTCAGTCTTTTTGTCTGCCCCTGATGGGGTTCAAACAGACGAGGCTGTAAAAGCCACAGCTGTGTGCTGATGTTGAAGGAAGTTCTTTGTCTGTTTTTAACCAGGGTCACAAAGGGAATCCAATTCCTAAAAGCATTTCGTGGCCTTCTGGTAAGCGTTTAAAATGAGTGGTTTTCCAGTTGGAGAGGGCCAAAGGTTTTCAGATGTGTCCAAACTCAGAATGATCAACTGTAGTGTCTGGCTGTGATTTTAAAACCTGCAGACTGAAGGTGAGACAGGGTTAAAGAATATTACTGCTTCTTATTTTGGAGAAGTGGCACAATTTAGCGCCAACCTGCTGTCACTTCAGCGTCAATCAGGATTGAGAATGTGTTCCTTCCTATAGCGAACTTAGCTGCTTCATTCAGGTCCAGACCGAGCAGAGCTGTGTGCTGGACTGACCTCTGTGTTAACATGTGGCTGTAAATACTGTATGTAATGTCCTCCATTAACACCTCCCTTATTTAACAGCAGCCATTCTGTTGTGTTTGTAGGCTTAAAGAGCATGGCATGAAGTCAGTGATGTTTTTATTTTTCTTGTAAATAAAGTTTGCATTAATAAAACGCTGTTTAATTAAGACATTGTTTTTCTGATGAATATGGCGGCCCATCTCTTCTGTAGCCTAGTCTTACAGTGTTGCTCTCCAGCTGTCCTTGTATAATCCATAGTGAACAATGGCAATAAAGTCTTGTTTTTTTTTTTTTAACAATCCATCTTTGAGTTTGCTGTTTTTATTTATTTTGCTGTGAATGAGTCTGAAACAACTGCATCTTTATGTATTTTTTTTCACAAGCATTTTACTGTGGTCAGGGGGGCTGTTTGTCACCCAGCGTCGGACCAGCTGAGCTACAGTTTAGAACTGATTCAGCAAACAGGAAGTTGCCCCTTAAAATTTGCAGCTATGTGCTAAAATGAAGATCGTAAGAAAAGTTTCAATGAGTGCTTTAAAAGCTTTGACTTTGCAGTTCAGAGGAACAAAGAAATTTATGTCACATTTGATTCTTGTCTCAATTTTCTGTTCATATTTATAAAGTTGCAACATGCAATATTGTAGTAATTATCCAAGGAGCTGCACTTCAAGTTGGTTCAAAATGTTGCAGCAGTCTGAAGTTAAACCTCGGGCACAGCGCCCTCTGGTGACATTTAAGGGATTTCCACAGGACGCAGTAGCTGGGATTAGACCTCTATGGAGTACAGTGGTTTTCAAACAGGGGGCGTAGAGCCACTTCAGGGGGGTCGTGGATGTTGACCGGACCTGAAGTTGCATGACTATAATTCAAGTGATGCTAGCAAGGCTAAATTGCTAACCTGAATCATCTTTATTTTAGTCACCCTTATTGTTGATGATGAATTAAAAAATATGAAATCCACTTTTGCTGATGTGTGTGGGGAGGGGGGGGGGATGATGATTTTTTTTTTTTTTTTTTTTTTTTAAAGGAGTGCATGAAAGAAATGGTTTGAGAGCCACTGGTTTAGACCAGGTCTGGACTGCTAATCTGGCGTACTGGGCCGACGCACCTTTGGGGCTGTGGAACGTAATTATGTATTTATATAACTTTTTTTTTTTAAAATGGGCCAATATCCAGCCCATAAAGCATGGACAGCGGTCCATTGGTTCATTTTCTCCCCCTCTGCTCTGTGTTCCGGACATTTGTTAAAAATGTTTTGAAACTGTTAATTAAATAAAAATGCTATGAGAAAGCTTGACACATGCTTTCTTAGCATCTAAACTGAGAAGCAGTGATTTATTTGCACAATAAGCCTGCAATGCAATGGAACTATAGAAGAAAACTGTGTTGCCCAAAAAAAGTAACTAAAACTAAAAACAATAAGCTGCTGATTACCGCTTTGTATTCTATTATATTTTTATACTCTGAATTGTCACCTGCCACCTGAATTTTGTGTTTCCCTGGTGCAGACAATGTCCCCAGAGTGCAGGAAATTAAGTGTTTAATGCTTTTATTATTTCTAAATAATTAAAATATGTTCTTTTCTTGTTGTCATGGGCCTAGTGTTTCGTCACACCCCTAATCTAAGCCCTTAAATGGAAGGATGGTGTAGTGATGAGGGTTGTTGGTGGGCCGCCTGGGCTAAAAATGCCAGGGCCAATTTTCTGTCCGTCTGTGCTGTGTAAGGAGCAAATTGAGTGCTCATAAGTAGTGTTGGTCTTAAAATGAGGTGTGGTCAGGCGCATTGCTATATTGATCAGAAAAGCCTTAAGGGACCCTATTGCACCCGGCGCAAAGCGTAGCGCAAGCGTCATTGCCAGTTTCCAACGCATGCAGTTATAATTTTCACGCCCAGCTGAGCGCTAATAGGAGTGTTGGTCAGGCGCATTGTTGGCACGTTGCTGTCTTAAGGCAGCAGAAGGCAATTGCGCCTTTGACCAAAAAATAAAATAATATAGCAGGTCGTAATTCAACGGCGCAGCATTTCACTGTTATATTATCCAGACAGGAAGTTGCTCTGAAGAGTGACGCTGTGCGCATTTACGCACGAGGCACAGCAGCAGAACCTCATTGATGATTTAAATCTCCTCACACGCCAACATGATCTGTCAGGATCAAATGTTAATTAATGTCCAGTGTTCTTCTACACATCCAAAAGATCTCACACACACTGAAGATGTATGAAGGAAAGCGGCCGTCATCCTGATTAATCCAGAGGTCTAAATGATTTCAGAAGCTAAAAGTTGAATTCTGCGTCCTCAGGAGAGTTTCCTCTGTGCTGTCCTGTCATGTTTATAATACACTGTTTAGTTTTGCTGCTTAAATGCCCCATAATTTTTGTTGGGACTTTATTGTATACATGGAAACATTTCAAATGACTGACAGCAGCCTATCATGAAAGAAAACACTCAACAATACAACAATAAAACACAGGAAAGACACCATTGTAAGGAAGAGGTGTTACCCACGACCGGTTCATCCTAGTTTCTAATAATGCAGCGCAGTGAGGGTCCAGACATTTCATAGAGGAGAGTCAGAGTCTGTCTGTCTGGAACTTCACTGAGGAATCACAGAGCTGCAGAGGAACGACAGGTTTCACGATCAGAGACGGTTTGTATGTAATTCTCTCCATACTTGCACCATTTTATGGTTTATGTGCCATCCATCCGCCGTTTAAACAGCAACGCGGCAGGTGCACCTGACTTTTAAAGGGAATGGGCGGTGATTGGTTTAATATGATATATTAATTAAGAGACTAATTACAACCCCTTGTGCCTTACTTTGCACTTACATGGTTATGCACCATTTAAGTAGCAAAAGTGGAGTTAGACAGGCCCCAAATAGGCTACATCGTTGGAGTAGCTCCCCATAATTTAGTTCTAGGCAACACAAGATCAGACCTGTATGCGTGACAGGACGTGAGATGCCGGCAGAGTTACTACTGAAGCTTCAAGCTAATGTTCCAGCAGTTTCTTGCTAGGACAGGTAGCATTAATACTAAAAGAGTCTTTTCAAGATTTATTTGAGAAAATATAAAGAATACAAATATGTATGGAAAGAACAATTTGTATATTTAAGAGTTTTAAACATTTCAATCTACAAATATCTAAAATAGCTCAGCATACCTTAGTTACTGTATATAGATATACTGAACTACATATAAAAGTAATATAAACAACACTGTACAGAAAAATGGCACTGAAAGGCTGAGAAAACACAGCTATGTACAGAGCAGATTCAAACTCTCGTGGTATTTCCTTCCATTCGCCAGTTTCTTTAAATCTTTTTCTGTCCTGCCATCCTTCACAGCTGACCGTGTCTCAGAGCAGGTTGTTCTGTGGACTGGTCTTATGAAACTGTGATTTCTTCAGTGTCTGACTCTGAGGACTGTTTGCTGGACTCTGACGGAGAGGAAGGATTGTGATGATGGTGGTGGTGGTGGTGAAGATGTGAGTCCTGGCTGTCCAGCTGTGCCTGGCTGGGGGGTGCAGTCCTGTCCAGCCTGTGGCAGTAGGTGCTGCCTACATCGGTGAGGTCTGGGTGGGGGTTGGTTTTGGTGGGAAGGGTCTGCTGGCGACAGCCGCCCGTCGACAGCAGCTCCCTCTCCTTGGAGTTCCTCCATTTCATCCTGCGGTTCTGAAACCAGATCTTCACCTTCACAGGACGCAGAAAAAAGAACAATAAGTCAACGTCACAGACCTCCTCACCACTTTGTTCACAGCCGGACTGAGGTACAAAATGAACAGGAAATCACTTCAAGCCCAGATTAAAATGCACAGATATGCAATATAAGAGCAATGGAGCATAAACATATGTTTGTACTTGCTCAGTACATGGAGGATTGTCTAAAATAAATTTTACCAAATCTAACAGTCCTTGGTGTGTACCTGGGAGTCTTTAAGTCCAAGTTTACTGGCAAGTTTCTTCCTGTCCGGTTTGCTTATGTATTTCTGCCTCTGGAAAGTTCTCTCAAGGGCCTTCCTCTGGAGGTCTGAGAACACAGCCCGCCGCAGCATGCCCCTCCTGGGCTTCCCTCTGGGAGCCGGGGGCCATGAAAACGTCCCCGGGACAGGAATCGCAGTGGAGGAGGCTGGCAGGACAAAACAGAGCAGAGTAGAGATTTAATAGCCAGCCCCGTTTGACCTGATGTTGAAATCAAATAAAATGTGGCCCTCGCTGGGTCCCTGTCCCCAACTTTGATGATACAGATTCTTCTACAAAACATATCCCAGGCTGTAGCTCTAGCCTTTTGTTGGATTTTTCAATTCAGTTGATTTGTTTTCACAACTGGCTTTAAAAGTAGTCCAATTTTAATATACAGTATTCTGACTGTAGAAGGATTAGATTTCTTTGTCATTTCTAACTACAGCTAGCTCGCCGCTAAACTCCCAAATCCCAAGAAAACAGAATTACAGTAGACATATATATATAAATATATATATATGAAAAATATACATTTTAGTAGGTTTAATACAAGATGTGTGCAGGTCCTGGGAAAGAGTCATTATCTAAAAGCAAGCCATTAAAAGGCTTCTAATTCATATTTACACGTTAAATAGGTGAAACATTTACTACGAACAAAAATGACAGTTTCAGGTGTCTGTAGGAGAGATGAACTCTCTAATCCATGACTGCTGACTCTACTACCAGAATAATGGCTTTACCAACTCCCTTTATGAACGCTACTCTGATATTTAACACAAATTATAATACATATTACATGTAACATTACATTTCTAACAATTCATCGTAAATTTTAATAAATTCTTAACATTTAGAATTTTCAGTTGCTCAGACAATTTTAATTTTGTTCCATCTCAAAGACGCAGATTGCAGGTTTATTCTCATCCGTCTTAGACTGGTAACCGATATACAGCAGAGAGCTTTTGTTGTATCAATTCATGTCCAATGACGTAAAAATGTGATTGTGCCGAGTGACTGGCAGTTGCTACAATTTATTTTATATTCAGTGGTGATGAATGAGGTGAATGCTTCTTTTTCATTTCCTGTAAGCCTTCAATGTGTCTAAAACATTAACATTCTGAGGAACAGATCAATCAGTAAATCCCTCCATCATATTTTCTTGATGCTCTTGTTTTGTTAGCATCCTGCTTCTGAGTGGACACAAGCTGGAATTTCACTTACAACTAGACACTTTTATGCTGACTTCTGCTAAACTTGAATTCTTTGTGAGTTTATTCTACATTTGTCAGTCGTCTCAGAATGTGTCATTCGTTCTTGTTTCCATCATCAGCACACATGCT